ACAGATTTAGAGAAAAACAACCAGTTGATCCAAAACCCAAAAGAGTAGCAGAACAACCACTTTCTCAACCCTCAAAACCACACCCAAGCTCAAGTTCCACACCTCAAAACCCTACACCACAATCAAACCAAAAACCTGTACAACTCATGATTTCTCCTACACAAACCCTTCCAGAAATACTTCACCAGATGGCACAAGATAACCTTCCTCAGTTCTCTATTGAAGATATTTTTCCCTCTACCTTTGAAAATGAATCTCACATGGATACTGTCAAATCAGAAGAATCAGTTGAAACAGATGATACTGATGATTCAGATGAAATGATGCTCCCTCAGATTTTCATGACAGAACCAACAGTTGAAGTTCCAGATGATACTCCAGAAGTCCATAACCCTGATGCAATGGATGCTGAACAACACCCTCCTCCACAACAATCACATGCTCCTCCTTCAACATCAAAATTCTCAGTCTTTACCATTGATGATGTTCCTCCTTCAAAATGGCCCTCAAGATTTCAAGAATTCTTAGCATGAGGACTTGTTGAATTGAATTCTCATCCCAATGTTACGATGAACACAGTCTTGATCAGATTTGTTTCTAGACTCGTTGGATCCCTGAAAAATTTTTGGGACAATATTGGTGAATACAAACAACTCCAGTTTCTTCAATGCCCAACAATCACAGACGCTGTCTCTCAATTTGCAGCAATCTTTTGTGGACAAGAAACTCACAGATTAGAAAAGATCAGAGAGCAATTCTTCAGACTCAAATGCTGTTCTCTCCATCCAAAAGACCTTGACAGACACTATCAACAATTCTTCCAGTATTTCTACATACTTGGTGGATTCGATGATGTCAACTTAAAGCAAGCATTTCTTAATTCTGTTCCAGAAGAACTTGCCCAGCAAACAAGAACCCAGTTGAACCTCAGATCCCTTGATGTCAAATCTATGACCTTGGAGACATCTACAAGATGATGCTAAAAGCCCTTGATAAGATTTGCAAAGAGCACATATACATCAAAACCTTGGTGCACAACTCCAAAAAGCTTGAAAAGCCCTGTTCTTACTCCTCCTCAGGATTACAAATCAAATGTTCCTCCAAAAATCCCACATGTTTTTGCAGCAACAAGAAAAAGAAACATTTCAGAAGATTCAGACCTTCCAGACCTCCACAAATCTCCAGACCCAGACACAAGAAATTCTCCAGATATGCTGATAAACCCAGAAGATTTCAAAGATTCAAATTTGTAAGAAAGAAGAAAGACCCAAAGATCAAAAGCTCAAAATGTTTTCTCTGTGGAAAACCAGGACATTTCTCAAAGAACTGCCCAAAGTCAGATAAAAAATCAGTCAAGATGATCCAAGACATTGCCAATATCTCAGGTATCAATCTCTCAGATGATGATCTTGAATCAATTTTCTCCCTTGATGATGAGCAGAATGAAAGATCATTGTTTATGATAAAGCAGTTTGATGCTGATGAGTATGCAGATTCAGATTACTCAGAATACTCCGATGATTTCACAGATGATCAATGTTATGAGTATATGTCAGTTCAAGAACTCCAAAAAATCCAAACCAGTCAACCTCCAAAATTACCCCTAGCTCCAGTTCAGATTTTCACTCACAAACATTCCCCTCCTATAACAGTCACAGCTTTCTTTGATACTGGTGCAGCCCAAACCATAGCAAACCCTCTTGTCTTACCCAAACATTTTTGGAAAAAACAGAAAACTTTCTTCAAAACCGCTGATGAAAATTTATTTTTTACAGACTTTGTCAGCAACCCTGTTACCCTTCAAATCCTTCCAGGATGTCGAATAACTCAAAAGATTTTAGGATCTCCACTTCCCCAGAAAGACCTTGTTATTGGTTTTGATATTATAACCAGTATACCAGGTTTAAAGCTTAGTGGAAATGGTATCAAGTTTGAAAGTTATTTCAGACCTTGGAAAAACCTTCCCAACCTCTTTACCCTTACCCTTCAACCAGATGTTTTTCAAGATTTCAAACACAATTCATTCACTTTTCATGTGCAGAAACTCACTCAGATTTTCTCCAGAAATGTGATCACCCACTTTGGCAAAACCCTGAATTTTTCATTTCCCTTCCCTTCAAGAAAGATGAAAATGCCAATCCTACAAAAGCTAGTCATTCAGGCATGAACCCAGATCATTTCAAACAAGCAATCCAAGAATGTTCCCTTCTCCAGGCTCAAGGATTAATTGAACCAACCTCCTCTCCATGAGCGTGTGAAGCGTTTTATGTCAACAAACGTTCAGAACAAGTTCGTGGAAAACTCAGATTGGTAATCAACTACAAGCCTCTTAACATTTTCCTTGCAGATGATAAGTTCCCTCTTCCAGACAGAAAAACTTTGTTCGCAAATCTAGCCAATGCAAAAGTCTTCTCAAAGTTTGATCTCAAGGCAGGATTTTGGCAACTAGGTATACATCCACAGGACAGATACAAAACGGCGTTTTGCATTCCTCAACACCACTTTCAGTGGACCGTAATGCCTTTTGGTTTAAAAGTTGCTCCTTCACTGTTCCAAAAAGCCATGACCAAGATATTTGCTCCAATTCTTGATAATGCTTTGATTTACATCGATGATATCTTACTGTTCTCTCCTGATGATACATCTCATGCACAGTTATTGGATAAGTTCCAGCGCATAGTTCAACAGTATGGGATAATGCTTTCAGAGAAAAAGATGCTCATTGGTGCTACAGAAATTGATTTCTTAGGCATGCATCTCAAAGATGGTCAGTACATTGCTCAACCTCATATTGCTCAGTCACTTGCAGATTTTTCTGATGCAAATCTCTCAAAGAAGCAGATCCAGCAATTTCTCGGTATAGTCAATTACATGAATGAATTTCTCCCAGATATTGCCCAGCTCACATATCCACTCAGACAAATGCTCAAAAAAGAACCTCCCACGTGGTCTCAGATTCAGACAAAAGCAGTACAAGCCTTGAAGATAAAAGCAAAGTCACTTCCCACTTTAAAAATTCCTTCAGATGGTACAAGAATACTGCAGACAGATGCTAGTGAACAGTTCTGGTCAGCAATTCTCCTTGAAGAAAACGATGGAACCAGACAAATCTGTGGTTACAAAAGCGGAAAATTGAAAGATTCGGAACTCCATTATCACTCTACACTAAAAGAGATTTTAGCTGTAAAGTATGGTATCCAAAGATTTGAATTTCACCTCATTGGATTTCACTTTCTCGTGGAATTAGATATGTCAGCCTTTGATCAGATGCTCAATTTCAAAAAGAAGAAGACAGTTCCTGCATTGAGTGTCGTCTCGACGATTCCAAGGACTGCATGCTTGTAATCTTTAAATCTGGTGTCCAATAAGGCCATTCTGGAACAGACAGGAATTCCATTTCTACCATGGAAGGTTAAAGCGATTCTGATAGCACCAAAGTGGATGTGAGTGTATCCTTGTTCTGACCACTGATGAGGAAATTCTTCTGGGATCTAGAGAGTAACAAAGTGCTCTTGGGGTCCTGCTGGAAGAATACATTGATCAAAGTTTGTGGCTTGAACATATTCTTTTGGAGCTGGATATTTGGGTTTTAAAAGAGTTTTTAAAGATCTGGTAAGAGAAGGGGAGGAGTTTGAGAAAGCTGTATAAGGATTTACAAGGGGTAAGACTGTTTGTTGGGTTTTCTTTTCTTCTGGAATATAATCTACTTCATATTAGAACTTAAGCTTAGAAGAGGAGGACTTTTTAAGTACAGGAGATGGAGGAGAGGATAAACTAAAAGAAGATCTAGAGGAAGATGGTTGAGAACTAGAGTTGCTAAGAGTGGATAGATCCATGAAAATAAGACTCTCTTTTGGCTTTTCCTTTTCCAATTTTTCAATAATCAAATCTTTTAGAAACCAAAATCCTGCCTCTTGCCAAGTTTGATCGATCTTCACGCTGTTGTCATAATACCAGATAGTATTGTCAGGACTCTACCACTCGGAGAGCCCGGAACTGAAGTCGTGTCAGTTGCCAGAGCCTTGGCCGTACTATCTGCCGCTGTGTGTATAAATGGTATCAGAGCAGCTGCCATGTTCCATCAAAAATCTCTTTACCACTTTCTCAATTTATAACCCAATCACCACCGTGATCTGAAAAAGCACATTATTAACGGAATCTCCAACAATATTATAATTTACGAAGCCCGTTCACTTTCTGGTAGATCTTCTAACAATCAGCGCTCTCTGTCATTCACTTGATCTCTGATATTGTTTTGTAGCATAATAATTTGATTAAAACACAAATCTGTAGGATTTAGGCTATGCAAAATCAGATTTAAAATGGGTTTACTTGTGCAATACTGCAGTATTGATCTCATAGAACTTTGAGAAATTTTCACGTGGTGATGATAAAACAAGAAGCGAGCAAGAATCATTCGTGTTTCTACTTTTATTTATTGAACCTAAATCTTAAACTTTAAAAAAATTTATTAAATTAATATCACAGTTGTTTATATATGTATTTATCTATATATATTTATGTTTATTTATTTATAGAATAAAATTTTTTATCATTTAATTTATATATTAAAAGAAAAAAATAAATACTATAACGAGATGCATTCTAATATTTTGTAAAAGAAAAAAATTGAATTGTTAAGACTTGATAGTTATTAATTTATTAGGATAAGATTTAAATAAAGTTATTTATTTGAAATTTGTAAAATTTTTATTAAAAAATAATTTAATAAAATATTAATAAAAAATTTAAATTGATAAAATGATAAAGTTTAATGAAAAAATTCATATTATATTAAAATTATTGAAAATATTATTTATAATTTAAATTTGATTAATAATTATTTAATATCATATTTTTATAAAAAATTTTAATAAAACTATTTCTATAAAAAACATAATTCTTTAAATACAATAACTATCTAAAAATAATAAAAAATTTAAAATTTTTTTTAAAATTTTACACAGTAAAAATATTCGTTCATAGTCTTTCCCACTTGCTCGACTCAGGAGGAATTTAAGAGAAAAAAAAAAATCACAAATTCACAAAGAAGACAATAATAAAATAAGCAAGTTGGTTTTTGCGGTGAATCAACAGGAAAAAGGGTCGCGGCTTCAGTCGGAGTTTATCCGGGTCTCTCACTCCACAAACACCATGGACTTGCTCTCGCTCTCATCTCCTTTAACCCCTTCCTTGTCCTCTCTTCATCTCAAACTTAAACATAAACCCTCTCTCACTTTCCCAAACCCTAAGCCCTCCTTTTTGTGCTTCACACTCAAACCCCTTTCTTCATCTGTCAAACACAAAACCACCCCTAAGTGTCTAAAATTGTCAGCCCCTCAAGGCCCCGCCACCGCCATGCGAGGGGCGGAGGCCGACGCTATGGGGTTGCTGCTCAAGGAGCGCATTGTTTTCCTAGGTAACTACATTGATGATTTTGTCGCCGATGCCATTATCAATCAGTTGCTGCTTTTGGATGCTCAGGATCCTAATACAGATATCAGACTCTTCATCAATTCCCCTGGTGGTTCTTTGAGGTATGCCTTTTTTCAAGGCTTGTATATTGTTTAATGCCTTAACCCCTTTGCCGTGTAACCCAGATACCGCTGGTCAGTTTTTTACTTGGTTTTTTTTTTACACCTATATTATGGAGGAGAGTTTGTTGCAATAGTTTATGCTGCAATTTAGATGCTTATGTTGTTCGCAAGTCAATAGTAAATAGCAAGAGAAAAGGATAAGCGTGTTGGTTTCTCCTTATCAATTGCAAAACACTTTTTCTGCTGCATCTGCTCGGTACCCTGTCTTTCCTTGCAAAATTAGGGTAGTTTATATTTTATAGGGTTCTCAACTTTTCGAAAAAGTGTTTTCCACAGGTTTCTTCTTCGTTTCCTGTGCTTCTATATCCTATAGCCTACATATTCTTAAATCTTAACATGCTTTCATTCTTTGGAATGTTAGCAACTTGCGTGGACAACATAGTAAAAATTACCTAAAACTTCTTGGTCTTCTACATATTAGGGGGTACTTCTAATTGGTAGACTTGAGCCAAAACCAATCTTATCAAAGATGCCACTGGGCTTCTTTAAAAATTCACTAGATGAATTCCCTAATTTTATATGGGAAATTAAATGTTACATTTTGCCTTTGCCTTGTAGTGTCTTGTAATGTCTTTATTTGGAACCTTGAAAATTACTACTTTGTTTAAGTTTGTAACTTCTTGGTGGTTTTTGAAAATTTGCAGTCGGGATTTAGAATACTTATATGCTTAATCTTTAAACTTATTTTGCATTTATTATTTCATAACCCTTTCATTAGCTCTTTCTTTTTTTTATCTTCTATTTATTCGAATTTCTGACAAGATTGTTGGGCTTGGATGTGTACATATTGTGTCAAAATTTGTTTCACCATGTTAGCAAGTATTTTATAATTTGGTCAAGTATGTTATCTTTCTTCTTGTTCAGATGTCATGCTAGGATATTGTTTGAAGTAATTTAGGAACACATATGCCTTTATGGGTAGATTTTTATATATTTCTCAGTTCTCTTATTGAATTCCATCTTTTAAGGCCTCCATTTGAGTCCCTTTAAGTTTTCCTCAATGGGGATTGTCTATGTGGAGTGTTTTCATTCACCCCAGTGCAAAAGTTGATTTTTTTTATATTATCTTCTCAATCCTGCCTCCTGACCCAAATATTCATGAAGTTATTACCTTCTACTTTCAAATTAGGACATAATGTTTGGTTATGGAAGTTGTGTTCTGCATTTTCAAGAATTTGGTAAACCAAAAAAATGTGGTAAACGAAAAATAACTTTTTCTCAGTGGAAAACCATTGGGAGAAATCGGAAAACAACTTTGGGAACTTATTTTCCTTGCTTAACTAAGTTTTTTTTCTCTCTTTTGTATCAGAAGCCTCTTGGTGATGTCACTTCTGTTGGGCATCTCCTTTCTCTTTTCTTTGTTCCTAACCAAAAAGATCTTGAAGTTATGAATAAATTGGTTCTTGAACTTAATATCTGTTCCTTTATGGGTGATGAGATGATAAACTGATGTCTTATGCACGATAGAAACGCTAGCAATGTCTTAATGAGTACATGAGATTTGATGTTAACAGTAAAAATTTCCCATTGCATTCCAAACAGTGGGAAATACATTTCACCATGTTGTTCAAAGAACAGAAAACATTTCCCTGTATTCCATGAAGAAGAGGAAATGTTTTCACCATGTTGTGAACCAAAGGGAGCCTTGATGTCTAGTGAATACGTTTTGAAATTTTCAAAGTCACTTTGGTTTTGTGTTGTTAATTTCCAGAATGACTTTGCTGTTTTTTTATATAGGAAAGACCTTGTTGCATATAGACTATAGAGGCATTTATAAGAGTCCTGACATGAGGCTAGAAGGAGTACCTCGAATTAGCGTTCATTGTCAACAACAGCTAATAAGATAGAAATGATATGGCAATTTTAATTGATGGGAGTGGTATTCTCCTTGGATTAGGGCATTACAACTTTACTGATATTGCCTATTGAAGGAGCCTCATGGCAATGATTTCAAGATCTATCTGGTTTATAAACCCATTCTATAGGGTAGCATCTTATATCTGTATTTACAGACTTCTTCCTAGCCCTAGAACTTGGTAAGCAAGTCTAATTACTAAAAATAACTTAAAAGGGTTTTGCTAATGAGTGCCCTCAGGGCACTCTTTAAAATTAGTTAAAATACTATTTATAGTAATATTTTTGTATTAAATGCAGTAGTTGATAGTTAATGTGATAGTTACAATGCATTAGAAAAAGATATGTTTCTAATGTGGTAACCTTAAAAGTGCCCTTAGGGCACTCTTTAGGTAAATCCTAACTTTAATAGCCTAAAATAGATATCAAATCAAAGTTTAGCCTATGATATAAATATCCAGCAAGCCCGATTACAACTCTTGGTTTGCACCATGAACTTGGGAATGGAAATTCTATTGCTTCATCCAAGCATAAGGAGTCTTGCTTCATCATTAAATTAGCATGAGATATTTCATAATCTTATTGTTCAATTGGTGTGATTATATATTATTCGTTTCTTCTAATGACCAAGCTCAAGTCTCTTAGTGCCTTTATTATTCCAAATCTTTAAAAAAGGCCAAATTATGCCCAATAGATGCTTTCTGTCTAAAGAGGCAGCTGAATCATTTCCTCATCTTCTTCTAACCTGCCCTTTCCTTTGGTAAGATGGCCAGTTCTTGGCTTATGCAATCTTTGGGTATCACTTGGTCAGTCATAGTGGAGATTTGGCTTGGAAGCGTGCATATTCTTGGAACTTTAGGACTATAAGTGCAGTTTAGGTCATCGTTGCAGGCTAGAGGAAATGTCTGCATTATTACATGTTATATTTCCATTTGGGCTTAAGGCTTTGTTTGTATTGAGGGAAGGGTACCCTCTTTTGTAAGGGAAACGTTTTAGTGGATGGGGAAGGAATAGGAGGATTTTGGTGCAAAAAGCCCTCAAAAGTCCAAACCTTCATCTTTCAAAAACTCTACTGGAGAGATTTGGAAGGGAAGGATTCCTCATCAATTTTTTTTTTTTAATTTCTAACATAATTACTCTGACACAACCCTAAATCAAAATTTTAGCATACCCTTAAACCCTAAAGATATGAAGAAAATAATTGCTAATGAATATGATCAATTTCCATTTCCTTCCCTTTCCAATCAACCAAAAATAAGCTTGCTTGCACAACCTTTCCTCTGCTTTCCTCTTCTTGGTTGTGCAATCCGATTAAGGGTAATTTACTCTCTTCTTTCCCTTTCTTCTATTCTCCTTCCCATCCCTTTGATTGGTGACATACAAAGAATAGAAACTTTCCTGTTAATGGTTCCATTTCAACATTTTGTCTTTTACTATTTGATTTCTTGATTGTACCACCTTGGTTGTCTATCCTTTGCTAATGTTCTTCTGTTTTTGCTATTTGTATCAGTGCTACTATGGCTATCTATGATGTCATGCAGCTTGTCCGGGCCGATGTTTCCACGGTTGCACTTGGCATTGCAGCATCAACGGCTTCTATTATCCTTGGTGGTGGCACCAAAGGCAAGCGCCTTGCAATGCCAAACACACGAATAATGATTCATCAACCTCTTGGAGGTGCTAGTGGACAAGTTAAAGATGTAGAAGTCCAAGCACGGGAAATTATGCATAACAAGAATAATGTGACGAGAATAATTTCTGGTTTTACTGGTCGTTCGTTTGAACAAGTCCAGAAGGATATTGATAGAGATCACTATATGTCTCCCATTGAAGCATGTGAATATGGAATGATTGATGGAGTTATTGATAGAGATAGCATCATTCCATTGGTCCCTGTGCCAGAAAGAGTGAAGCCAAGACTAAACTTGGAGGAAATGATGAAGGATCCAAGGAAATTCATCACCCCTGATATTCCAGATGATGAGATATACTAGCTTGGGGAATTTGATGCTGTTTTCGTGGTCTTGCTTTTTGTGTTAGTTGCAAAGAAGTTTTGTAATTGAAAATACAATAGTTTTCGTCCTTTTCAATTGACATACAAAGATGAATTTCTTGGTTGCTTCATTGAGAATGTGGTCCAAGCAATATAGATTATGTGTTTTAGAAATGATTTGAAAATCGTTTCTGTGAAGCTATGAACTTTTGGTTCCTCTTAAGGTCTCTGGTTGTTTTTTTGTGTATTCAAGTGGGCAGCATAAGATGTTGAGGTGAGGGTAGGATTTAGCCTATGCAAAATCAGATTTAAAATGGTTTTACTTGTGCAGTGGTGACTGCAGTATTGGTCTCATAGAGATTTGGGAACTTTTTCATGTGGTGATGATAAAACAAGGAGCGAGCAAGAATCATTCGTGTTTCTAACTGATCGATGCCTTCGAGGAATGCCTTCAAAAAGAATGCCTATGACACGTTTCCAGGCAAGAAAATTTTGAGGTGGATTGACGGGAGATTGAACAGAATTCAGATTGGTGATAAACTGTGGTTGAGTTTGTTTCAGGGAAAATAAAATCAAAAGAATTCATATTGGAGATGGAAAGAAGCCTTCTGAGATACATTTCAGGATTCTCAGTCAGGATTGAAATTGTAAAGGTATAACCCAAAGTTTTACAGTAATGTAGCAGGTTGAAGACACCTTGGGCTTATTGCTCTAATGTTGCTTCTATAACCTCAAACCTATCAGCTTCCTTTTTCCTGGTCTTCTCTTTCTCAAGCAAGTACGCTTTCTCTGCTTCAGGTATTGCCAGCATAATACTATTCAGCTTGAAATTCATCTCCTCAACCTTTCTCATGAGCCTATCATTTGTAAACATGCCAACACAAACATTTTCTATGGTCTCCCAGCTTTCAATTAATGGTAAAGCAATAATCGCTGCCGATCCAATGGTGCCCCATGATATAGCAATAACGGCCCAGAAGGTGAAGTAGCCGACACTGAACTCCCCTGCATTAAATTTTAAGAGGTGGAAAAAGAAATAGTGGTCAAATATAAGTATAATTTGAACAAGAATTATTTTACTGGCTCCTCCATTTAGAAAATCTTGTTTTGGTCCATATTAGAAGTAAGGAAATTCAAAATTCCTAAGCTTTTATAAATAATAATAATAATAAAATTCTAAGCTATTTTTTTCAGTATTTTGGCTTGCTATTTATTCTCCGTCAAATCCATGGGATCATATGTTCCTAATATATATCTTCACGTATTAGCAGAGTCATAATCTGACTAGATAACATAATAATTCGAGCCCGAGAAAGCAAAAGCCAAAAGGTTCACTGCAACATATATTCTATTTGCTCTTTGGTTCAAAGAGCAATTCTAATTACCGTCAATAAATTCGCATCTTCTGCTACTTAGAAATGCCTACAAATATAATTTACCTGCCGGAAGCGTAAGTAGAGGCCACAATATGACGATGACGATGGTAAAACCAACACCCCATTTCACTATCCATGATTTGGCTTTTCTTAGTTTTTCCTCTTTGAACTCTTCTGCCGGCAAATCATTCTTTTCCTTTTCAACAATTGTTATCTGCCTAGTGGTGTCCCAGTTATAGTTTTGAGGCCACAAAAGACTGCAGACAGCATGAATGGCTCCACCTGTAAGTATGGAGACTAGGTTTCCAGCAAGCATTGGTGCATTTCGACCAGTTGTGTCAAGATTTACTTGGCCATATTCTATGCTTGCGACTGACAACCAAGTGACAATGCCAAAAATGCAACCAACAATTGTTCCTAGAATTGCACCAATGGCGTTAGCTTTTCTCCAAAGGAGCATAAAAGCAATTGGGAGAACAGCTGAGCCAATAAACACTCCCATGGCAAGATACATCCAACCCAAAGAAACTCCAGCCTTGTTTAATGTTACCGCAAACAATCCCATGAAACATCCAAATCCTAGGACAACGGCCCTGGACATGCTAAGGATTTTTTTCCCGCTGGCATTTGGATTTACGTAAGTACGGTAGATATCATATGTGCACAATGATGAAACCGCAATTAACTCAGAGGAACCAGCAGATGTCACAGCCCTGTTCATGATCAATGTAACACAACTTTCACATTTTGAAACAGAAAGAAAGGGAAGGGATGTCTCAAAAATGAAAAAGATAAACAAACGATTTGAAAGTTAAAACAACTTTCTTCAAAATCCATCAATTTTGCTTAAAGAACATTTTTGCACAAGTGGATTATTTGGGAATGGCACATTGAGGTTTAGCCCAGTAAAGTAAGTTACAAGAAAGGTAACAATCAACTTGTAATTTTCTTTTCCTTTTTTTTTTTTTTTTTCATTTTCTAAGTTAGAAGTTCCAGAAGAAAAAACAAAGACAAAGGTAGTGAAGAACACAGAATGTAGCTTACATAAATAGCATCGTAAGGAGAAGTATAGATCCTCCTTTTCCCATCAAAGCTATAGCAGTAGCAGGAGGAACCAATCCATGGCTTGCCTCATCCACTGTTAATGGTAGATCAAGTGCAAGGGCTCCAAGACCCAATGATGTTGCCAAAGAGAATGGCACCGCAAACCACACAAGCCCTCCCAACAAATAGCCTTTATGAGTTGATGAAGGTCGAGCAGCAATGGCACTCACCCAATATCCCTAAAAATTTCCCAATCAAATATTACAAGCTATATCTGACAAATGTGATTGAAAATTTCTGATTTTGTAATTACTAGTGAAGCTTACATTGTCAACAAAAACAGTGCCAAAATTACCGACAATGTTTATAATCCCAAAAATCAGACCGCCTGAACTTAGCATTGTTAGATAAGAGCCCTCATAGTTCCCACCGATGGGACCACAAGATTGTCCATTGTGGGAAATCGGCTCGTGACATATTCTTAACTTGCTGGCGATTTCCTGCAGGCGGTTGTGTACGACGCTGGGGCTACCAAGCTTGTTACTAGCAGTATAAACTAGGTATACGAAGATAACTAAAGCCACATGCACTAGAACCGATCAAATAACAAAAATAAAGGTCAGACTTAAGACAGTATATGCATAAAAGACTGTTTAATGAAATAAATGAGAGCATACCAATGACAGAATGTATATAGCTCGCCAAAAAGGTTGCTTTTAGTCCTCCTGCTAATGTATAGACAATTACCCCAAGTGGTATCAAGAAGCTAGCAGCATATATGTTCACCCCCGTAAGTGCATTCACCACAGCAGAACCACCAAGGAGCAACATTGCCGTGACAATGATATTTGTCAGAAGGCAGAAAGCAAGGAAGACAATATGTGCCGCTTTTCCCCAGCTGAGGCACGTAAAAGAAGACAGACAAACAAGACAAGCATTTACAAAAAAAAAAAGAAAAAAGAAAAAAAGTAACGGATAAATAACACACATTTCGTATTGGTGTCATGACCATTGTGCTTACCGAGCCTTTACAATCTCGCAAACAGTATGAGCATGGGGAGCCTTTCGTTTGATCTCTATAGCCATGACACCAAACAACAGTACCTGTTAATTAGCATGAATAAGAAACGGTTACCGTATAGACAAGTTAATAGTTGTTTCTAAAATAATTATGAACTTGCCTGGATAGTAGCACCGCTAGCATACCAAAAAGGCCCGCTAATTCCATACTGCCAAGCAACATTGGAACTTTGCAAAATGGTAGCAGCCCACGTCCACTGCAGAGGATATGCATTAGGAACAGGGTAAGCTGAAAAAATTGTCTATCCCACTTTGCAGACAACATGGATATGTTACCTGCGATACAATCACACTGGCAATAAGCCCTGTTTTAACATTCCTGCCTGCTGTGTTGAACCATTCGGATGTGTGGGGTGATCCAACGTATCGCTTCTCTAACCACACCTAAACATGTCATTATAGCATAAGAACAAAGTAAAAACCGCGTGCAAGATATGGAGATGTCCAGGAAGTAATGTGCCTAGTAAATCTGCATCTACTTTCCCGGTTAGACCTATGCTATTGGTAATTAGTAAAGCTTTGCAGCTTTTCTATGTCCTGAAAATTTTCCGCTTTTATTAGTGTGATCTAAAATCCTAATGCCTTGTAAATAAGTTTCAAATGCTACTGATACTTGACAGTAACGCCAAAATTGCATAATGCAGATGCAAATGAATTTGGTATTGTACTAGTGCAAAGCATCTTCATGTTTTAAATTGAGCAGTGGCAACTAATGTACCAACTTATAGCACAAAAGAAGCTTAACTAACTAGAAATACTTTTCAAAGGTGATCACATTTGATTTTGAAAGCATTTTGGATTTTAAACGAATTATAACAAGAAATCTGGAAAGAGGCTTAAGGAGAAGAACAAGAAACCTGGTCGAAAAATCATAGGAAAATTACCATAAAAGATCAACATCTAGACATCCATATGAATCATCATGTGTGACATTCAGAAAGGTTGTGAATTGTTAATGATTTAAGTCACCTCAAACTGGTCGCTTCATGGAGAAGGTTATGTGCATGAGCAACAGTGTCATTAGCTGCTAGAAAAGCGCTAGACAGAATCACAACCTATAGCAACTCAATTGGTAGCAAGCAATTTCTTTTGGAAAATTTAAGAGCAGCGGCAGTGCTACTCCATATTATGGTGAACATATTTCATATAGTTTCCCCTAATCTGATGAGTAGAGATCTGCAAATCCAATCGCATGTCAACTTAAGTTTCTTGTATGAAGTATAGAAATAGGTGCTGTCGAATTATCTGATTACCAGATCTGCTCATAGATTCTGAAATAATTGTTTGTAGTCTTTTATAGAGGAATAGAAGCTTGCATGGAGTCCTAGTCTAGCTTCACAATTTTGCAGTGGCGGATGTTGACGTTACATTTAGTTTTGGAGGGGTCAAGTAATAATATACAAAATGCTTTATTTTATTTTTTTTTAAAGAAATATTTTTATCATATTTACTAATATATATGAAAATAATTTACTAATAAAAAATGACAAGTTATAAAATTATAAAACAAAAATATTATTGTGATAACATTGTACTTTTAACAATAATAAGATTTATAATTAAAGGTAGAATTACTAATTACACATTCTATCATATTCTTTTAAAAAATACATTTTTTTTTGTTTTGATAAAATTTTTAATAATTGGTTTATTCGTACATATTTTTATTTCAATTTTTAATTTCCAAATAAATAACAAAATTTTTATAAATCATGATAGAATGTGTAATTAGTAATTCTACCTTTAATTATAAATCTTATTATTGTTAAAAGTACAATGTTATCACAATAATATTTTTGTTTTATAATTTTATAACTCGTCATATTTTATTACTATATTATTTTCATATCTATTAGTAAATATGATAAAATATTTCTTTTAAAAAAAGTAAAATAAAGTATTTTGTATTTTTTTTATATATTTGGAAATTAAAAATTGAAATAAAAATATGTACGAATAAACCAATTATTAAATATTTTATCAAAACAAGAAAAAATGTATTTTTTAAAAGAATACAATAAAATTTTGAGATTAAAAATTATGGTGTTTTGTTATTTTTTTGTTAAAGTAAATCAAATATGATTTTTTGTTGAAAAAAATTACACCAACATAGAGATTTAAAGTAAGAATAAAAGTAAAAAGTGATATGGAGAGGAAAAGTTCAAATAAGCTAAAAAGAAAAGGGATCGTGGGGCTTAATCCAAATGGTTTGCCTAACTTTTCAGGAGATGGATTCCTACCATGTTAGAGTTCAATTCTTAAAACTTGCAATTTCTTTTTCCCCAAATCTCTTAGGTTTCCGTCTCTTGTACCAAAAAGATTTAAAAAAAAAAAAAAAGAAAGAAAGGAAACACACATTTGATACTTGATTGGAAATAGAGTTTTATTGAGAAAACTAGAAAAATTAATTTAACTTTTGTTAAATTCACGTGATTGTGATTTAAAATTTATGACAAATCTCAACCTCTTAATTTTAAGAATTTATAATTAATGATTATTAAATATAATAAATGAATAAATATTAATGTGATTTGAACATCTATTGAATTGCAATGCATAAGATTAAATAATAAAACCAAAAAAATAAAATTAACAAATTTAATTTATACAATTTCAATGGATAATGTTGGGGGCCAAGGCCCCTCTGGTTCCTATCACGCTCTGTCTCTGCAATTTTGGCTAGCGTTTACTGGAAAGTGAAAGAATGAAAAGAAAGGAAAATAAAAGAAAGGGGATATAGAAAAACAGGAGAAGAGAGAATAATACTAAACTGCAAAATTAAAAACATAGACAGTTTAGCAGGTAATTTGCCTAAAGGGAAACAACGACGATGATGTTAAAAGTTAAGCATTCATGCACTGCTCTGATTAATAGGAATACAAGAGATATGTGCAAAAGTAAGATATGTACAAGAGCAAGTGAGTAAAGGGGAGAGTGTTTCATATTTCAACTGCAATCAGGGCAGGGCATGTAGAAACTAAGCAGGAATTACCAGGAAGGAAGTAAAGATAGCGAAGAAGGCGCCGAAGCCAAGAATAACGGAATAGCCAATGCCTTGATTAAGAACTGCTTTGCCCTTAAAGAAACTGCTCTGCCTCACACACCCTAAACCCTCATGGACATGGTAGTACTTGCCAGAGAAGTCAAACGGAGGACACTTTGAGCTCATACTCTCTGTGCTTTGTCAAATGCCCAACGCCCAATTAATATCCAGTTTTCCTTTCATCTCCTCACAGCTACCGGCACTCTTTTCTTCTATTAGATATCAATATCATCGTCACGTCTTTACCCGTACAGAAAGTCCAAAACACAATAGGCCCCTCCGGTTTCTTGTTCCGTGCGGCTGCCAAAGTCAAACTAAAACTTTCTCTTTGATTAGAAAAACAAAAAAAATATGTTATTTTGAAAATCCCGACATAAATTTTAATTTAAAATATATATATATGAATAAATTTTTGCTCATATAACAAAAAATATTAATTTTTTACATATATTTTAAATTAAAATTTATATCCGGATTTTCACCCCTATATATATATATAGTTGAAATCTCGAGATAACAATTTATTTGTTCCAAAGGTAAATCACATGTTATATTGAAAATATTTTTATATTTTCAAATTTATAAGTTCTAAATATTACTTGCCCTGTATTCTTTGCTCTATTGTAATCGTTCTTTAACCACATTGGACACTTTTATTCTCTATTCGAATTTATTAATTGATTAAGCCATCTAATTGTTACTTTAAATCAATAAAAAATTAAAAATCTTTGAAGTAATTTTCTATTCATGTCATTTTCATATACGTTAAATTATATAAAAAATCTTTATCACATAATCGTTACTTATTTTTTACAAAATTGAGAGTGTTTAGCTTGACACTTTTATTTTATCAAAATTTGAAATTTAATTAGTATATTGTAATTCAAATAAATTTAATCTTTATAATATTTTACTTTGATAAATTTAATTTAATCACTAATTTTATTAAATTTTTACTGTTAAATATGTTAATATAGCCATTGACTTTATGATGTCATTATTGACTTTATTAATATACTAATTTGGATAAATAAAATTAATCATCATAAATGATTTTAGTACTCACGTAAAATTTGAACTTTAGTATTTTTAATATAGCTTTTTGTAAATCTTCACCTCGTTTAAGTTGAATTTGATAATATTGATTCAATTATTAATAAAAATATATTATTTTACTTTTTTTAAAATCATATTTTAATTTTTATAAAATCAATATTTTAAATTTTTTAGAATTATATCATATTTAAAAACACTAAATTTAATATTTTAAAATCATTTTAATTTTGTAAAAATCATGTTTTTATTTTTTTAAATATGATTTTATTTTTAAAAAATCAGTTTTTTAAATTTTTTTATAAATTGTCTAGATTTGTAAAAATATTAAATTTAAAATCTTAATTTTTTGAAAGCTTTTGTATTTTTAAAGTTTTAACATTTTATTTAAACAAAATATTTAATTTCAATATATTTTTTAATTTTTGCAGTTTTTTAAAATTTTCTATAGTTTTTAATTTTTATGTTTTTTTTATAAAATTTTTATATATTTTTTAAAATTTTTTGCTTTTATTAAGATTTTATAAATTTTAAAAATTGTTTACACATTTTTTGTGTTATTAAGTGAAGAATAAATCAAAATAAAAAACTCTTCTTGTTTAGTTATTAGTCTGTTTTACTTTAGATTTTTGTGCTTTTTCACATTAAATATATTAAAACAGAATAAATTCTAGAGACATATGTCTTCTTTATAATTTATTTATTCATTCATTTAAATATTAAAAAATTAAAATTTTAAATTTTTAAAAATATAGAAAAATTTATAAAAATTCCAAAAAATAAAAAACAAAAAAATTAAATATTTTTATTAAATAAAATGTTAGCATCAAAAAAATATAAAAGCTCAAAAATGAATTTTATTTTAAAAATTAAATATTGAAAAAAAATTAATATTTAGAAATTCTATAAAATTTATATAAAAATGGAATATTAATTTTTTTAAAAATAAAATCTTATTTTATAAAAATTCAAAAATATGATTTTTAAAAATTTTAAAAAAATATTTTTAAGATTTTAACAATATGAAAAAACTTATAAAAAATTCAAAATATTAATTTTTTAAAAAATTAAAATTTGATTTTTTTAAAAGTAAAAAAATTTTTTTATTAGTAATTAGATAAATATTATTAATTCCAATTTGTACGAGACAAGATTTTTATATAATTATTTTAGAGAGACTAAATTTTAAATTTTATATTAATATATGGATTATTTGTATAATTTAACAATTAATTTCATCAATTTAAGTTGTTATAAAGGTAAAATCTTAAAAAACATTTATTAATATATATAAAAAAGAAAATAAAAAAAAACACGTGTACTGTCGGTGTCAAGTATATCTTTAAAAAATAAAATTGAAATCTTAAGAATTATTTATTAATTAAAGAAATAAAAAACAAATGGTAAAAAAAGACCAAAGTTTGGTACAAAATGAATCCCACATTTAAATAATTTAAATCATTCAAAAATATTTATTCAATATTAAAATATTGAGAAATATATAAAATAAAAAAATAAAATTATAAAAATATTTATTAAATTATAAAAGGGAAAAATAGTAAAAAAAAATTGGTATAAAGTGGATCGTACCTTAAAAATTAAAATTTTTAAAAAATATTTATTAAATATTTTACAAATTTTGAGAAAAAATATTAAAAAAAAAAGAGAGGGTTGGGAAAGCGCCATATGATGCAATGGTTGCAAGCTCCTGTATGGAATATAGGAGTAAAATTTATAATATGGATAGGTATCGGTTTACTTCAAAATCATTTGTTACATATAAAATTATGTATTTTTTTTATGGGTCTGTATTGATTACAATATATTATAATTTGAATCCATACCAATCTATATAAGATTTTGTCTTTTTATTTTTAATTTCAATTATTTGATTCTTTTAATTAATTTCTAGTTCTGACTCTCTAAGGATCATATTTATTTTTTTTCACAATTTCATTTAAAATAATATATGTTCTGTAAATTAGGTTATTAAACTTGTTTAAAAATATCTTATTATATATATTTTTATATTTTATATTTATTTGAGATTTGAAAACTTTTAAACGTTAAATATTAATAACTTTTTAAATTTATTATTTATATATGAACATATAAATGTATGCAATAAAAATGTATTTTATATATTTATATATTTTATAAACAAAATATATATAATGTCCGTAAATTTGAAACAGTATGATCACAATGACATTGATATATATCATTTTAAATGAAAATCGAAACGTTGTGTTAACAACCTTGATTTCATTAAAAAAAAAAAAATCAACAACCTTTGATCTCTCCTAAAAGAACAAAATTCTATCACGTTACGCAACTCCAGTTATGGTAATGGACTTGGTCCCCAAGAAACACCATTATTAATTTCCTTTAATTTTCAAATACAACTATCTTATATTTTCATTGCCTATAATGTCCCCATAACGTATATATTCGGACGTCTGTAATGCAAAGGATTTGTAAAACTTTCTTTAAGAAACGACTAGTAGCAGTTGTAATAATTAATTAATAAACCCTAATCACTAAAAAGTTAAAAACCCTTTTTAAACCCTATAAATTAACCACCCTGGCCAGAAACGTAACCAAAAATATATACAAACTAAGAAGGAAACCTTGAGGAGGAGAAGAAACCTTTACCCTGAATTCTTGAGGATGATGATGACTCGTGGCGGCAATAGGTTAGTCAGCTCCATGTTCAAGGTCGGCCCACGCTACTTGTCCACAGCAACAACATGGACCCTTATAAACGAGAACGTACGGTGCAAAAGCACTTTGGCCCTTGGTGACAAGGAACAGGAAGAAAAGCAAGCAGTGGGAGGCGGCCCCACCAAGAATGAGAAGGGGATCAACAGTTATTGGGGCCTGGAGCCAACTAAGGTGACCAAAGAGGGTGGCGCCGAATGGAAGTGGACATGCTTTAGGGTACAAAATTTGTTCGTTTGATAATTTTTTTGACTCTATAAACTGATCTTGTTCGTGGAACCTGATCACCAGGCAGTCGCTTTTTTTTTTTTTTTGTTTTCTGCTTTATATATATATATATATATATATATATGTGTGTGTGTGCGTGTGTGTGTTTATTTTTGTTTTCAATTTTCCAGCCGTGGGAAGCATACAAGGCAGACTTGTCCATAGATCTGAAGAAGCATCATGCGCCAGTGACTTTGCTGGACAAAATGGCTTATTGGACTGTCAAAACTCTTAGATGGCCCACAGATTTGCTCTTTCAGGTACTTTTCATCTAGCTCTGTCGTTTCTTTTGATTGTTTAATGGGGAAATTCTAAATTGATCGGTAAGTTTTAGGCATAATTTCACTTAAGGTTCATTAGTTAGAATGGACATTCCGTTTTAAATTTTTTAATTAATAGGATAATAAAGTTATTCTATCAGTTATTTTTTAATTATTTCGTTAAAAATTTCATTAAAAGATTATTATATTTTTAAAAAATTAATATACTTAAATATTTACATAAAATGTTTAATTTTTTGAAATATACAATATATTAATAATATATAAAATTTTTTTAGGTGTAATATATAAAAAAAAATTCATAATTATAAATAAATTAATATGTAAATATGTATAATAAAATTAATATATTAAACATGTAACAATTTTTTGACATAAAACAAATTTGAAAGAAAATGAACATGTAATATATAATAAGAAAAAAATGTTTGGTTAAAAAAAAGGATTTAGTTAAAATTTTTACATGTTTAATATATTTATTTTGTTATACATATATTTACATATTAACATATTTATAATTGTGAATTTTGTTTTTACATGTTGCATTTAAAATCCTTTTAATATTATTAATATATTTTATGTACTTTCTTTTGATTGTTTAACAATTGCTAGTTAAGAATTATAGATATCTAAATTAATAGTGCAGAGGATGAGAGAAAGCATTAATATCATTTGTAGGAATTATATGTTATTCTTTCACAAATACTAAATTGATCCGGGGGATAAAAAAGAAAAAAAAAAAGCTTGTATGATAAAGACTTGGCTAAATAAATAAATAAAAACAAGCGTATTTAAAATACTTTTATTATTGTTATTTCAAACAATCTAAGCATGAACATCGTTAATAAATGAAAATATCTTCCTTTTATTGCTATTCTAACTCGTTATGTCCAGTTTCAAAGGCCAGTTTAGTATATATTTGGTTGGTATAACATGTGACAGCGGAGATATGGTTGCCGAGCAATGATGCTAGAGACTGTGGCAGCGGTGCCTGGGATGGTGGGAGGAATGCTGCTGCACTGCAAGTCGTTGAGGAGATTTGAGCACAGTGGAGGTTGGATCAAAGCACTGTTGGAAGAGGCTGAGAATGAACGTATGCACTTGATGACATTTATGGAGGTGGCCAAGCCTAGATGGTATGAGCGTGCCCTTGTATTTGCTGTCCAAGGTGTTTTTTTCAATGCTTACTTCTTGGGATATATTATTTCACCCAAATTTGCCCACCGAATGGTGGGATACCTTGAGGAGGAAGCAATACACTCTTACACTGAGTTCATCAAGGAGTTGGACAATGGTAGCATAGAGAATGTCCGTGCTCCAGCCATTGCTATTGATTATTGGCGCTTGTCCCCCGACTCCACTCTGCGAGATGTTGTTATGGTTGTGAGGGCAGATGAGGCACATCACCGCGATGTTAACCACTTTGCATCAGTAAAGATTATTTACTAGTCCTGTTTTTTCTCACGTTTCACTTTTCCTCCCTTCTCTAGCTAATGCGTACTAAAAAACCAATTGTTGTCTTGATCAACTTGCAGGATATACATTATCAGGGACGCCAGCTGAGGGAAGCTCCTGCTCCGCTTGGTTATCACTGAAATCTTACAAACCGGCAATCTGCCTTTCAACTTCAATAAATAATTTGTTTTCTCTTGCAATCAATAATTACATTCCTACTACCTTTCTTCCGTCAAATTGGGATGTAATATCTACTTATATAGGGGAAATTTTTTTTTAGTGTGATTTGATGGGGAATAATTTTATCATTTTAGGTAAAGGATTTTGCACATGACCATATATAATATACTTGACCATAACAATCTATTACTTACTGTACATGCAGGAAAAGGGCATACAAAAGTCCATCCCCCAAAGTGCATGAAAAAAAAATTCACCTAGTTAATAAAATTGGAGTCTTAAAATCAATACCATCCACTACTCTTATACCTAGTTTCTAATTAAGAGATTCCTGTGGAAGTCTTTCTCAAAATAGCTGTTCTAGGAGCAGAACTTTAGCATCCAAGAAAAACAAACACAAACACGAGGTAATTATGTGCATGGCTGTATCTGATCGAGATTTTACCATTATTCGTGGATGATAAGTTTTAACTTTTTCTTTCAACGACAGTAAATCATGAGGCTGCCATATTCAAAAAGGTAGATGTGCTACCATGAACTGAGTCGTATTTCATCCTCGCAAGTATCTAACAACTATTTTATAACCTGATCAACATATATTTCTAAGAGTGGATATTTTGTTCTATGAATATATATTTTCGGTAGCAGTTTGAAGATTCTATTGAAGGAAAGGATATCCAGAAATGCAGTACTCCCTAACACGAGAAGAGCCATCTCTGGCCAGAATTCCTTCAAGATCACCTATAATTCTGGCCAACCATATCTCCAAGTTTCTTTGTACTTCCTGTAAGTTGTTTCTAATGGAATCCATGGATCGTTTTGTTGCGAGTTTGGCCGGGCTTCCAGGATCATCCCTGTAGTAACTCTTCCCAATCTCAGTTTGTAAATCCATTAGCTTTTGTCCAGTTTCAGATGCACGCTGCTGAAGTCGAAATGCTTCCAGCAAATACTCAGTCTGTTTCCGAGTTCGAAACTCTAAATTGAGTGTGGGTTCAGAGTGATCACTAGCCTGCTGTAATATTAGGAAAAAGATTTAAGCCAAAGACCAAAGGATGGATGGATCTATTTCTGCTATCATCACGGTGTACAAATATAATTAGGGTAAAAATGACCATGTGCATGAGAGAGAAAAAGAGAAATTTTATTCTCCAACTGATAATACATGATACAAATCAATACGTCAAAACAGTTTCCACACAACCTTCAATAGTGTCATTCCAAGTTTAGGCTCAATCGGATACAACAGTGTCATTCCCTATATAGATCATGTACAGGGTCTAAGTCTAAAATAGGATTCTCTAATATCTCAGTTTAATAATTTTGTCATTTTATCTCAATTTTTAATGAATTTAATCCCTACTTTTATTAAGTTGATTTAAAAATAAATTAATAACAACGTTAAAATACTGAAGTTAAATTCATGGCAGTTGGCATTTTGGTTGATGACATGATTGCCACAGCTATAAAATTAATCCGCTGCAGAATGCCAAATCATCACCAAAATGAGTCATTATCCAAGTTAAAGACAATTTTAATATTAATATTAACTGTACTTGAACCAATTTTTATCAAAAGTGTAAGAATTAAATTCATTAATTGAAGTAAAAGGACCAAACCCATTGAATTGAGCTAGTAAAGAGACCAAAGTTCACCAAGTAAACAACCAAACTTCTATAACACAAAGGGTTTATTTGGTTAATAAAATTATAATAGAATAAGTAAAATTATATTATAAATAAGATTAAATTAAATACGATTATTTTATCTTATATTTAATATATGCAATGATTAAAATAAAATAATTTTATTTATTAGTAAAAAATATTTTTTTTAAAAATGTATACAATTAAAATTATTGATATAATTTTTAAATGTAAAATAAGAAATATAAGTTCAATCTCACGGGCTAAAAATAATTCTCTAGACTTTGAAAGGATTGAATTATCTTATGCTAAAAGAATGGTTAATTCTCCTTACAACCCTATTTCTTTCTTTATATATAAACCAAATATTATATAAGATGATTATTATTCTATCTTCTCTATTATCCTATACATCAAACATAACCAAAAAAGATTTACCTTTCATAATGCTAAGGGGATCGCTTCAATTCACGATTCCCCCATTGACACAACTAACACAGTTAAGAAATTTTGTTTGGCCAAAAGAATACGTGAAAGGAGTGATGAATCATATGCCTTGATCCATTACAATTGACAATTTTGTTCTCAAACTGAATTTCAAAGACAAATAATAAAGCTTCACTTGTTTCGGGAAAATTAGCCTTCATAAAATATATTTTAAAAAATGTTGACATTTTTTAAAAAAGTAAAAATTTTTTGCTATTCAGATAACTAAATGAAAAATATTTTTTGTTATTCGATTGATTTTTAGAAAATCTACTTATTCTTTCAAATAACAATATTGGCATAACTATTAGAATATTAAAATATTTATTGTTAAAATATTGAAAATTACTTATTTTATAATATAGAAAATATTTATTATTGAAATATTAAAAATATTAAAAATCTAGTATTAATATTTTAAATAGAAATATTTTTAATATTAAATACTTGAAAATATTCTATATTAATATTTTAAATAATCTATTATTATTAAAACATTATTTTTCTTAATATAAAATGTTAAAAATAGTAATATTTATTATAAATGCATTAAAACATTTATACTATTAAAATAGTAATATGAAATTACAAATATTTATTATTAAATCATAAAATATTATTAATTTATATTTATAATTAAAATATTAATATAAAAACATTTTTCATTAAATTTTAAATTAATAGATTTATTATTAAAATATTAATATATTAAAAGTACTATAAATTTTAAATTTAAAAATATTAAGAAATGATTAAAATTACTAACAATATTAAAAAATTATTATAACAATAACATTGGAATAATAATATTGGTATATTAAATATTCATTATTAAATAATAAAGTATTATTTATTATATTAATATTTATTGTTTATTATTAAAATATTAAAAAATTGTTTAATAATAAAAAAATATATTTAAAATTAAAATTAAATAAATATATTTTTATTAATATATAAACATTTTAGATTGAGTAATGTTAAGTTCAAGTCTAAAAAATCACAATCAAGGTCTAACTCAAGTTGAATTAAGCCTACGAGTTTGGCGAGTAACCCTGCTCTTGAATAGCTTTTTCTAGAAATTGTCTCCCATTTTCAAAAGAGGAAGACATTTCTAAAACAAATGAACTCATTTTCAGTTGACCAATAAATTTTTTTTTAGATAATTTTCTGTTAAACAAATATCTACACAAATAGAAAGTTAAATTTCTGCAAAATAAATGGAACCTAATATTTCTAGGATTTTTTTATAGGATATTTTTCATTTAGGTATATTACATCCGCATCCTGGAGGTTTGCCCTTAGCAAATGTTCAGGATAACATTTTCTTTTTAAAATTTATAGAATGCCTCTGTTATTTTCCAGAACCTAGGTACCCAAGTCCCAATTGGTAATGAATCATTGAGTTCATCACAGAATCCTGCATTCTTCTAGTGTTTTTTACCCCCCATTAGCAAAGCACAAAAGTAAAAAGAGCAAAAATCTGATTACATACATTTTAGTTTCAATTTAAAACTTGATGTGGTATAAATATGGTTCTTAAAAACCCAAGATTCACTAGTAAATATGATGTGCAGGAAAAAGTACCGCAGAAAAGGACAATCTAAGGCAGATATGTCTTACCATTCTTCTGCAGAGATCATCAATCTTTGATGTAAGAGCTTGATATCTCTTGGCCTGCTTCCTCATTAATGAAGGTACCCTTGATAAATCACTTTTGCCAATAATTTCCAAATTCAATAATTCCTGTTCAAGCAGCTTTAGTTTAGAGGAAACTCCAGTTGATTCACCATCTACCTTCCAAGGTGATTCCCTTCTGAACAGAAAACGTATATTACTCCTTCATCAGCTACAGCATTTCATATGGACATATTTCATGAAGAACCAATATCTAGAATGTTATACTGTACCTTGCAACAAAATGCTTCATGTGATACAAAGATTCAAGAGATTCATACTGTACATCCTGCAAGGATAAACACTCAGCAGTGAACTTTAACAGTCACAGAAACAAATCACATAGCAAATTATCCTGGAAGAAGCAAATAAGGGCAAATAAAATGGCTCATGAATCCTCGAACTTCCAAAATCTAAATACAAATTGACAAATCCTCACCATCTGTCATGCTTAAGATTTTTTTAAAATGTTTAAACAGATAAGAGAATACTTAACAATGTGATGAAAGATGGCAACATTAAACTATTTTTCACAAAAGGCATTAAATTTCACATTCACATTCTTATCTCTCATTTATTCTCTCCCACCAGACAAGCGCCAATAACACCAGAATGAAAACAAGATTGCTCATAGCAAGTTCTAAAAGAAGTAGTGATCAAATCCATCTAAATAAAGGAAATAAAAAAAAAGCCAATAAAATGAAGAAGAGACAGAGATCTAATATCTTCAGATGGTAATAAATAACATGCTAGAGATTGCCTACCCTTCAGATCCTAGTTTAGTATGTCTTGGTTTTAAACTATACTATGATTCATATTTCTGCATGATAAGAACCATAGTTGATTGACCTGAGGTTGTTTGCTAAGCCTACAAAAAAATGTAGAATTACACATTTTTAAGGATGTGACATGCTTCAAAACTTTAGTTCATGCTTCTTGAAGCTGCTTAATGCTTAAGTTGCAAGCAATGAGAAACCGTTTGACTTTTATAGGAAATTGTTTTGGCTATGATAGAGTTGTCATGCCTTAGATAAGGGTGGTCCAGACATATGCTCCAATGAAGTGCCGAATCAGAAACTAAAAGCTGCTTTTTGAGTGGGCACCAAACCAACATATCATGAAAAGGAATAAAGAATCAGATAATGAGGGATGGTTTTTTTGCACCCATTGGACGGAATATTAACAATATATGATACTGATACACAACTCAAGTCAAACTTCAATGCAAACTAAATCTTTGGAATGGCTTCTAATTAAATCAGTTTCGTTGATGAAGATGCATGAGCAAGTACATTTTTTTGAGAGAGCGAGATGAAGTTAATTTTCCATTCTCATCTTTAAGCGAAAGCTTCCGGAGGCATAAGGAAGGCTCCAGCTGTCAAATATATGATATAGCCAATAAAGAGGAAATTTATAAAGTAGTCTAAGGCAGAACAGAAGTTAACTACTATCCAAAGCGGAGTTAACAAATCGCCAAGTGGTTACAGGGTAGGCGTTTGGAAAAAGATTTTAGATTCATGATACATTGTTCTCATGTTTTACTAAAATGAAGAAATGCAATGCCTTCTCTTTTCAGAAATTGAAGAAGAATATAATACATAGTGCGAAAATTTAATCTCTGAGATACGGAAATAGTGGGAGAACGTACCAAAAAACAAAAGTTGGTAAGAAATGCTCTAGTTTATCTCATACTGAGTAAAGGATTTTCATCAATATTTGTCTCGTTGTTTCCACAGAAACAGAAAAAGAAAGAAAAGAAAAGAGAAAGCTACGAGATCTTTCAACAGTCCCCGGTTAGAACAACAACACCAAAAGAAAAATCAATTTGTCATTTTTTTTCCTAGTATTTGCCATTTGCTGGGTGACGAAGAAAAAAACAGAGAAAAAGAACAAGAAATGTTAACGAACCTGCCAGACATTAGCTCTCTCGGCCCAAAACTCTGAAGAAGCAGAAGCCAAGAAATCGGAAGTGAAGGGCAAATTCCCATCGTGCCCAACATTAACAACACCACTAAAGTTTACTTGGTCCTCCCTCGTCTCTTCCGCGGCGGATTCCTCCTCCATTTCCTCTTCTTCAGCAACAGCCTTAGTGGTAGAGATGAAGCCAATCATGTCCTGGAGCTCTTCAATCCTCCGCTTGGATTCATGGGTATCTCTCTCCAACTCCTCGATTCTTGCCCTCTGATCCTCGATTTGCTGCAGAAGCTGCTTCTCCTCCGCTTGCCACGCGTTCCTGTGGCTGGCAAAGATCTCTACCACTCTGGCGTTTGCTTTGGAGTCCTCTTTTCTTCTCGACTTCATTTGCCTCAACTGCTCCTCAGCCGTTGAAAGCCTTGCTGTCAGTTCTCTCAATTGGGTCTTCATCTTTGGCAGCAAAGAGAGTGAACAATCTGGAATGTAAGCCAAGAAAACACTGAAACTAACACCAAGATATGAAGAAAGCAGCTTCTGGGTTTCTTGCCTCTGTATTTGTTGCTCATTTTCTTCAACTTCACCGGATGTTGCCATCAGTCATCTGATGTGTGAGAAGCACCGGAGATAGAGGAAGAGTTAAAAAGGCTTCGACTCCTTTGTTTAAGGTAGCAGCGTCAAAGAGTGCAAAAGAACAGAAAGAGGTTTGAGTTTTGGAAGGATTTAAGGAGCAGGACGCTAGGACAGGACCGGAATCTGGACGGGTTAAAAACTGAGAAAAATTATATAAGAATTGAGGATTTTTTCCGAGGAAAACATGGTAATACTGGGAATACTAATTATGTGGAAAAACAGGACTTTTTGTGTCAGTTTTCCCATAAAAACTAAGAAAAAACAGGACGCTACGACACAGCCTAGTAGTTTTTCTTTTCTTTGAAAAAAAAAAAGTGCATAAAACTTGTAATAATATATAATATAAAATCAACAAATAATTGATTTAATTAATTAAATTTTATTTTTTTTATAAAAAAATTTTAAGTTTAAATTTTATTGATAGTTACTTGTTAAAATTATTTAAAATATATAATTTATAATAATTTATTTTAAATTATTAATATGATATATTTTATTTTAATTTTAAAAATTAAATAATTTATCTTTCTTGAATTTTTTTTATAAATATATATATATATATATAATATAGCATAATAAAAAGGTACAAGCCTTTTAAATAGTAAATATGCCAACAACCAATGGGGCCTTCCTCGATCCATAAAACTTAAGGCCATTAGCTAGACTTTGGTGATAAAACTGTAAAAGGAAAACAAAGCGACTACGCAGGCGTTGGATGGAAAAAGGGGTATTGGGAATTCTCATATTTGCAACAGTGGAATTCGGCAAAGGCGTGGGATTTTTTTTTTCCTTCTAGGGAGATTCTAATTAGATTAAAAGTATGATTAGAGGTAAGGCCGTAAGGGTCCAATAAGCCACAAAATGTCTTTTCGATTATGAAATTAACTCTATTTAGTACTACAAACTTCATAATCAGCTTATTTGAACCATAATTGAAGAAAAACTCAATTAAATTCGATTAAAAAATTGTTTAAATTCAAAAGCTTATTTTTATCTGTATGCTTTTCAAACATGTTTTTACACATTTTGCAACTATTTTTAATATAAAAATATAAAATAATATATATCAATGTTTGTTGATTCGAATAATAAAAAATTTAATTTTTTTAAACAAAATTTTAATTTTAAATTTTATAAGTGAAAAAATTAAATGTTAAAAAATTTATTTTTTTTATAAAATTTAATTTAATTTAATTTTAAAATAATTAAAATTTAAAATAATTATCGAACATCAAACAATTAATACTATATAACTAATAAACTCTCCCTCCCGTGAAAGAGCCCGTCTCATGGTACGAGATGGACCTTATGATTCAGTCCACCCTCGCGGGTCTTATAAATATGTAAATATCTTTAATTTTATTTTCTTATCATAATTTAACCTGGGTTTTTCGATAATTTTATCAACTAATTCAGTCCATCACTTTCAACATTTAGTATAGAACATCTAGATAACCTCAGCAAGATTTTGCTCTGCCCAGTGCCTCAATTCTCAAGAGTCCATACGTTTATGTAGCCGCTTGAATCCGATCAAGTCTAAGGCCCAAAGATCACCCGACAGCTAATGAAAATCCTGGTTGATTGCGCAGTCAGAGTGGGCCATTACCACTGGGCAACCAGAATATTGGGCTTCACCTACAGCTGTGGAGTAAGGAGCTCTCCTATCACTCAGCTAATTGCTAGATGGAGAAAATAGAGAAACATAAAAGTAATAACTTAAGACAGAATACTAAAAAATACGAAAAATATTAGTTTTTTATTAATGTACTTATACGAAAGATGAAAAGACGAATTAAAATTTTTTTTTTGTCTTTTACTGTATGCTAAAGTTGAAAAGTGAAAAATTTATAAAAAATTTTTAGTGAGGACGAGAAGATAAAATCTTAATAAAAGAAAGAAGCTTGTACCACTTTACTCTTTTTATCAATTTTTTATTTCACTTTTTTTTTTCTCTTGTCAAGCACCAATAAAAATGATTCTTTCATTCATCCCCCAAAAAATAAAAAGAAGATCATTTTTCTACTTTTTAACCGAACCTCTTCCGCTCTCTCAGTTTTCAATTGAGGAGAAATTGTCATAGGACTTTTATTTCTGTTAACCCTTCAAAGTACTAGACTTTCAAGGAGGCCTTGTGGCTTCAGCATAGGCCGAAAAAAAAGAAAAAACATATCATACAAAGCATAAGCAAATAATAATGATGTAAAAGTTCTCATATCTGAGATATAGAAAATAACGTAAGAATTATACACGTCGGCAGATTTTCTATCTCTTGACAAGGGTAATATAATTTAGGGGTACTCTGGAAAGCATACGAAATTTTATGATTCATCATTACTGCTCTCAATGAGAACAACTTCCTTTTTGGTCTTCAGCTTCTTTCTAGGTATTATTTCAGTGCCTGGTTCTCCATTCAACACATCACAATTCGGATCCTCGGCAATACCATACTTTTTGACTTCTTCAATAATTCTATCCCCGTACTTTTCTGTCTTTAACTTTCCAATTATCTTCTCTAGCTGCAAGAAAAAAAAACTATAGATTCTCCCTCTTGACACAAAGAAACACTAGGATTAAACTTTAAGAAGAGAATGCTAGATTAAAATTTATTAAAGGGTTAAAAACGTTTTCAAATAAAAATTTAATAATCTTTCAACTTTTTATTATTTTATTACTATCAATTAAATTTTTAAATATTTGTTTTCTTCAATTAAATTTTTATTAAACGAAAATTGATTAATCATCAAAATCAATTTTTATATACTCAAAAATTTAATTGAAGTAAAAATAAATATTTAAATATTAGATTGGATGAAAACATATTTTTAAAGACTCAATTAATCGGAAATAAAAAATTCAAAACTTAATTGACTACAATAAAATATCAAAAATTTAAATGATTTTCAAAATTTTATTCAAAAACTTTTCTGACCTTTTACCATTTAAGTTGCTTCGTATCAACTATAAAGAAATACTTTTGTTCTAGCAATGGTTAGGCACAGGATATATACAAAATATACAAGAAATGAGTAAAAAGTTTTTACGTGCCTCTTCAATTGAACTTGGTTTAAGGGCGCTTATTATGCTGATATGTTGACCTGACAAGATAGAATGAGGGAATATTCCCCCATCATGACATGCAAGTTTCTTCCTTAGCTCATCTAGCTTGAACTCCAAAACCGATGTGACACCATGTTTAATTGATTTCCTGTAACCATCCAATTCCTTCGTTCTGCAAGCAACGTCCATCTTGATGATTTTTTTCCCTGCATGCTTATGACAAATCAATCATGCCAGTTCTAACATACTTTTTTAACAAATGAAAATGATCCACGTACGGACAAAAGAACAGCAAAATAACATGTCCTGTTACGACATGGACTTCAATGCTATACAAGCAAGTGTGAAAGTGAATGTAAGAAAAACCATAGGCAGAAAATGAACTTCATGTATTCTAAAACCGATGCACACAGACCTTGCAAAATTTGGTTTGCTGATGGTCCTACTGTAACATAAGCATTTGTAGCATAAGCTGTATGCTGAAATTCTTCCTTCTGCATAATTGGAAGGGGCAAACAGAAGTAAAAACAAACTAACAAATCATAAAATTGCATTTTAAATCAAAATCCTAACATTCAAACCACTACAGCACTCTAACAGGAGAAACCCCCACATCAAAAACAATCTGACAATGACTAGTAATTATGGTGGCAATTGGCAAATTTTCTTCCAAATAACAATATTTTATTTACTGTAAGTTCCTGTCTATTCCTTTTTCTCCCCATAAACTACAAAATGAAGATGTCACTTCATAACTACTAGAAATTAGAAAAAAATGAAACACACTGGCACGCAGTGCATGCCCCAATATTCTAATTATAAAGGAGCTATACAACTTCTAATGAAGTAATTATTATTGGTGAATTCCCTAAAAGGCCAATCGGATTTGTACAAAAATACATTGTTATATTGTGAGATTTATTATCTAATGAAAGGTTTTGATTTATCAATAAATTTTTATAATATTCTTATGACTAGATAATAAAGTCCTTGAAATTAATAAACCTTTACAAGGGAATTACAATAAGATTATAATTATGAGATCATCATCGCATCAAAGCTATATTCCTTAAATATTTCTAGTCAATGCTTTATCAAAAAAGGATATTGATAAAAGTTGTTGACATCGATGCATGGTTTTGCTCTTGCTTGTGAAGCATGCAACCAATTTCATAGGTTGAAAGTCATAAGCCAGCAACCAATCTCGTAGGTTGAAGGTTGGATAAACTTAACATAAGAGTGCTTATTACAAGAAGAAGTTCATTAAACATAATCAAATAAGAAAGTGCTATTTGGCAAATCAATTAGTGTCTATAGTAATATTCTAATGCGATGATTGTATAAGTTTGACCATTTGATTTGAGATTACTAATGATCTTTTAAGTTAAAGATTATACCTTAATTTTACCTTATAGTGTTGACCATGAATGCACAAGTTGAGTATTGTTGGGTGTAATATGAGACATATGAAGATTCATAAGTAATCAATATAGGATTTATCACATTGTGTGTTCAAGAAAATAGCTCACTTAGTGAATGAATTGACTCAAGAATTCTTTGACCAAAGTAGAATATAATTTTGGAATAGTTCTAAAACATATTCAAGAGTTAACGTCAAACCTAATACTTAATATGGTTAAACAAATTTGAGTACAGGCAGTAATCCATGATTAATGTTAAATTGAGATAATTAAGTGATAAAAAGATATTAATGTTAGAATTAGGGTCTTGGAGAACAACTTACTAATCCCTTGGATTAGCCTTTCATTATATAGACAATATTAAGGAAAGAGAATCAATTACAAATTACAAATTTATGCTCCCAATTAATCCCTCTTTCCTAAACTGTTTCTCCCGTCGAATATTTTCATAATATTTCAACTCACACACTCGTATACACTAACAACTAATTATACTAAGAAACCATAGATAGGTATGTCAAACCACATTGACTTTCCTTGACAATTAAGGATCACGAGTTGCCTAATTACTATCTATAAATATAATTGGCCAAAAAATTCCATATATATAAAATTGATTAATTAGAGAATAAATGATAAACTCAAAAGGTTTAATTCATCTAATTTGAATTTAATTAAGGATTACAATACTTATATTTAATACTAATATCTTCAAAAACCTAATGAGTCGCATACATTAATAACAAGGCTTGTGTAAAGTTATTCGATTAAATTATTTGAAAGCCCAAAATAAAGAAATTACTAAAGACCCAATATCTAATACTATAGGGTATGGCCGGCCATATTAAGAGTTCTATTGGGTATAAGACTTGGCCAAAACTCTTTCTCTATTTAAAGATGCTTTACTATCCCCTCTAAGTGCAATATAGCAAGATAGTAAAATAGAAATATGATAGAATTAATTTTATCTCATGTGTTGAGAACAAATTAAGAGAAAATATAAATGAGGACAAATGATATTCTACTAGCATAAAATTCCGTTAGGCATCTTTCCATCCCTTGAGAAGGTTCTTTCCACCTTGTTTGTTTGAATTACTGTTAGACATTAGATACATGGAAAGTTAAAGGTTTGCTACAGCCAAGCTTGAGGTTCTTGGTGAATTAATTTAGACACCATCAAAAAAGCAAAGTAAAACCTATTCTTACCAATTGCATATATATGTGTAATTTTTGTCAACATGATCTATGGTTTTCGTGAATTAACAATTTTAAAATTTCACTGCATTTACATGTCTATTGTATGGGCAATTCCCAAAAATTATTTCTTTAAATACCCATTGGGTGAATCCTTGTTGTTTTTAGAGATTATAAACTCTAGATACTGAAATAATGACTGCTTATCCCGCATATTAGATCATTCATTTTGTAAAAATTTAAAGGTATAGTAGTTTATTCTCCTCTCTCATACTATTTGAATTTTAAGGTAAACATTTTAAACCACCTTGCTCATTTGTCATTTGTCAAAACTCAAAGGCAGCATTTTAAATCATACAGCACATGATTTCCTAATGTAAATCAGCACACACCAAGCCTTTACCTCCTGATAAAGATGAGCAACTTCAACAGCAAAGTATGTTCTACAAATGCCTAATCCAGTTTATATCATGCAGAACTGTAAGAAATATGAATTTTCAAAAATACCTTGACTGCCAACAAACACATCATTACGAAATTCTCATATGGTGTGCAGCCAGATCAGAATCATCAGTAAACTTGACATACAAGATCCATGGTCCACAGAGTTAGTGATTCTTACCAAAACACGATCTAGTATAAGTTGTACTACAAGCTGTTCCATCTCTTCCCTCTTTAGTTCCAAATCTGGTGCATTCATAAAATAATAAATATATTTATGTACCTATAATTTATGTGAACTGGCAAGAACTTACTTTAACATAATGAAATGAATGCAAGAGAATGAAAGAAACATGACATCAATCTTCCATAAGAGACAAGCAGATTTATGTAGTCCACATGTTGAATGACATTAGACATAATGTTATTGACTGCATATGTCCCCAATGCTGCCCAACCAACATGCATAAGAAGTTTCAATAACAAAGCACATGCGAACACAAGATTCTTAGGTCAATACATTTTGAGAATACTCTAGGAAGGCATAAATGCCTCTACCAATAGCCACATTGTGGAAGTCGTGCTTTCTCAGTTTCTTTTAACCACGACGTACAAGATAAAAGTCTCTTAGGAGTGACATTATTTTCATGCACCAAGATGCCGGAACAACTACCCACCACCCTCTAAAGATTATAATTGCATGCCTTATACTTTACCTGATTGAAGGTTGCGCCCTCCACACACAAACACACACACAAATAGTTTTGCTCCTGTTGTGTCTTACTAGATAGAAAGCAAAATGTTTAAGTAATTCTAAAAATTATACAATAGAAATGCAAGGTAAGTATATATTGGGTATCTACAATGGCATATAGATATATCCTAACCATGCTTATTAGATGTAGTACAACAAGAGATGGAAGAACCTAGTTGCTTTTGCTTATTTTTCACTCTGTCCACCAGTTGCAACATTGTCACTCTTTGATCTTTCTCTTGCATATCATGCACCAGAGAAATCATAAGTTTTGTATGACCTGCAAAGAATGATCATATGAAGCAAAATACTATTTATTTAACCAAACCAAATAAATAATACAACAGATAATTCCTAATACGACAAATATTTTACAAATTAAAAATGATTTCAACATATGGAAAACTTTCAGCACCTTAAACAAAACAACCTTAAGCATTTCCTGTTTGAAAAAAAAAAAAGAAAAACTGAAACTCAGAACAGTGTAAATACATGATTTTTCTTATGCATGGAAATTTAAATTGATAATCACTTAGCCTCACCTCTAATCAACTGTTCTTTCTTCTACCTCTACTTCTACCCCTATTGAAGTGCTACTGATGAGAGTGAAGATGTATAAATAAAAGGCATAAAAACTGGTTCCAACGTGTAAGTTTTAATTAGGGGTTCCTGAGAAGATTTATTATTGATAATCGACATGCAACCTTGAATAACTATTGAGCTTAGTCGAGATTTAATTTGAGTTGTACCTTTTTAAGTTCTGATTTTAATATAAGCAGGTATTTTGGTGCGTCTGAGGTATTATGTTTGTCTTTACACACAGCCCAATGGCATATTTGGCATCAATATTATGTTCTTTGCCAAATGTATCATTTAGTTCTCTTGCATACATATATATCACATACGCCAGGTTGTTCTGATATATCATAAAACATAATTTGCAATTTTTCAGAAGTATCATCTTTGTGAGAATGTGAGACACATCCCAGCTTCAATTGCAAATGAAACCCTTGGTGAGATTTCCAAGGTCTTTTCACTTCTCCCTATTCTTTTCTTATTTCTTTTTCTGAGAAAAAATCTAAAAAAAAAAAGAGGGGAAAGGGGATAAAAATGTAGACGAAAGAGAAAAATTCAAGTACCAAGAAGTAAATCAAATCATAATTGATTTTGACTCATTGTGTAGGGAATACAAATACCTCAAACCACAGAGCAAAAGTTTGTAAAAAAAATGTAATTAAAGAAAGAGAAGTAAACCAAAAAGAGATGGCCAAGCTAGAAAAACAGAAAAGCATCTTATAAATAAAATGAACTGAAAAGAAAGGTGAAGAGAATACTACTTGAAAAATAAAATTTTAATACATAAAAAATAACTTATGAGTAGAAGTCAAGTAAACATACCTGAAGCATTCACTTCTTTAACCTCACTTGAGAATGCACAGTTGTCACACATCCCTGACATAATATGAAACTGTGATTATATTAATCAAAATTGGCATAACAATAATAGAAAGTAAAAGCAAAAGTAATACCATTGCACTCTTGTAATGGCTCAGCAAAATGCTGGAAAAAGGCACTTCGGCGACATTGTCTTTTAGACTACAATAAGAAGAAAATGTAATACTTATTACTAGTAGCTCTATTGAAAGGAAGGATCTCACAAATGCAGACTACTAGTAATGTAACTAAATCCATATGTAATAAGTACCAATTCTTAAACCAATGCTGGAACAACTAGTGGTACCGAAACTATGTGCAAATGAGATCAATGATAGAAATCGAGCCTTGATTCTTCTAAACCCTATAAAGCATAAGGAATTGTAGTAGGAGTCATCAAACCTATTTGTGTGAAAGAAATTGTTATATTGGTATCCTTTCCACCTTAAACTGGGTCTTCCTTCTTCTAAACTCTATAAAGCATAAAGATTTGTAGTATAGGAATCATCGAACCTGTTTGTATAAAAGAAATTGTTATATTGATACTTTTCCATCTTAAACTGGGTCTTCCTTTCATTTTTCCCCCACTAATTCCGTAGCAACAAATAAGGTACATTACAACTAATATCAGTTATGTTTGATTATTAAAATTATTCTTCCAGACAATTTCCCAAGGTATATAGAGCAAGCACCCTCATTGAGCCACTTCAGAAACAAAAATATATACATGACATAGGAGATCAAAAACAGATGATTATACCTGACAATATCGTACTATATCATAAAGGTTCTGCAATCCAGAGTTCTCGTGGAAGACCATGGAACTCTGTTCAAATAAAGATCACAATTAATAGAATGTCTGGAGCAAACATGACAGTTTAAAAAAAAGTCAAAGAATTACCTGCCGAGGAACATCAGCCGGCCTAAAAAAGAGCAAACACTCAGAGGGGAGTCCATCTCTTCCAGCTCGGCCACTTTCCTGCAGCAAAGTAAGTTAAAGAAAAAAAGAAGGTATGAAGGAAAAAGTTTACAGGGAAAGGCCAAAAACCTGGTAATATGTTTCCATTGATTTACTCAGGCTATGATGGATGATGAACCTGACTACAAGCACGTACAGTATCAAATAATAAACCAGTATTAAATATAGGAGAAACAACTATAAGTGATACTAAATAGCATACATGTATGTATAATGAAAAGAGAATCGTAAATGCTTACGCACCTATAAGAAGCTTGTTGGTTAGACATTAGAGACGAGGGAAAAAAAGGGAGGAATGACAACAAATGCTTTGCTAAGTTCCTAATAGTTTTATCTTCCAAATTATGAGGTTATCAACTTTTGTTAGTTCCAGTATTAGTTTCGTCCATAAAATATGGAGTCTGCCAAGATATATAGGCTGGGGATTTTTCAGCAAGAGGGATTGCTAAAAAACTATACTAGTCATTCTCATATTCAATTAAATACATGTGAAAACTATAAAACCTAACTTCAGCAAGACAAATGACCATATCAATGCACATTAGGATGCCTAATACACCTTTTCTTTCTCCCCTAAGTACCATTTTCCATACGTCATGCTTACCATCAGGTTTGTTGATTCCCATACCAAATGCAACCTGAAATACAAGTGAAGGTATAACAATCGAAAACTTAGAATCAACAAGATATCTAGAAAAAGTTGACGATACACTTACTGTACCAACAATGACCTGCAACTTATTTTTGCTCCATCTACATAGCGAAACACATATAAGAGGCTGATTGAGAATGGAAATAAGCCAGTTGAGAAATTAAGTTATCTAGGACTTTATTTTATATTTTAAGGGTTTGATTGTAATCTTTACATTTATTTAGGCTAATTCAGATATTTAGGTTGTTTTACATTAATTAGTATTTTACATTTTTATATATTACAGCTTTAGGATATAATTGGTATTTTTAGGTTTTATCATAAATACCTAAATTCAATTAGTTTCAAGCAGACTTGGGTTAATGTTACTGATATGTTCTGAATATTTGAGTATTTGATATTGATACTTCAGAATTTGATTGGGAATTCAGATTATTCACGTGTCAGTAGTAATTAACAACTCATAGAAAACTGAATTCATGACAGACAATGAATACGTACATTCATACATACATACATACATATATATATGTATGTATGTACTATGTAGTAGCTTTTACTTAACAAGCAATTTGCCTGTAAATCATAAGTTAATAACATATTAACTTAAACTCAATCAGGTTACTGAAACAATAGTTTTTACAAGCAATTCTATTAAAATAAGCATTCTATAAGTTATAAAATCTAAAAATTATTTTCAACTAAAATATTCACTTAATTATGTTTAACCCAATTTTTACTAGGTTAAATTAATTATTTTTTTAGTTTTTTTACTAACTTTTAAGATTGATCACATTCTTAAAGGTGTTTTATGCTAGGGTAATTACATAAAACAACCCAGTAGTTAAAGCAAAATACAATTTGCCTCATGAGGTTTAAATTTGACTCTTAGCTAACTTGGGGAAATTTCCATTAGTTAACTTGTTCCACATTTTTGTTCCATGTGGCCAACTTTTCCTCTTTCCCTTCCATTTCCTTTTCCTAGAAACTTTGAAATCTTTTTCTCTCTTTAAAACCATGAAATTTGTGCTCCCTTTTAACCTTCAAAGGCTTCTAGCAAAAAACAAAAGCCTTTCAAAGCAAAGGTTGGAGCAAGGATCCAAGTTTCAGCGATGCATTCACCCCGATCAAGTTCTTCTTTCTTTCATTTTTACCTTTTCGTTAATCCCTTATCCAAGCTTTACTCTCTGGTTTAAAAAATACTACAAACTCTTGATCAATATCATGTAAGATGCAAGTTTTGAAAGATTTAATTATTTTGGAAGTAGGAATGGACATTGGTAAAATGATTGTTGGCTTGCAGATAGACAGAATTGTAAAGGTGAGAGCTATTTATGGAATCATAAATTTGTGGATGGCGATGGATGGTCAGTAGAGGTGCAGGACGGTCCTTACTCTTCAAATTGTTGCATGTTGTGATACTCAATAGGAGGAATATGGATCTAGAGTGATAAAGTTAGACATAATGATAAAACATACCACCATAACTTCCCATGAACATAGTATGAGAAAAATAGTTAAAGAGGTTTGGAGAGAGAAAAGTTTTCTGGAAATTGATGAAGAAGAAGAAGAATGAAAAAGAACAAAAGAAACAGAAAACAAGAAATCCATGTGCCAAATTAAATGAGAAAAGTAATTATCTTTATTAACTTAAGAATAACAGAATAATACTCAGGGTGGTAAATTGTCACTTTTTAAACCTCAGAGGAAATTTTTGCTTGTCTATAACCACAAAGTATTTTTCTGTAATTTAACCTTTATTCTAATAAGAACTCAATTAATAAAGATATAAGGCATTAGCATTAAAATTATTCTTAATAACATTAAAATAAAATGACACAATTGATATTTGAATATAAAAGTAAAAAAGGCAATATAGTAGTAACAAAAGTTCCACACCCTTTAATATAAAAAAATATAGACAACAAGAATTATATAATTTATACTGCAGTCATTCATCACTTCGATATATGCAGTGCAAATCTAGTAAGGTAAAAAAAAAAAAAAAAGAGTTTACCGTGAGCATTAGATAGTTTGAAAACAACAGGATTACTCTTAGAAGTTAGAACGTTTGAGCTTACCGCATGTGAACTTTCTCACGAGCATTTACATCCATGTCTGCATGGTAATAATCAGCTGATATTCCTCTCTCACATAACTCACTTGCAACCTACAGCTCTTGACAGAGGGAAAAGAATATATAATACTTACCATATACTCATTGTAATGCCTCATAAGTAAGACTTGACAACTAACACATCAATTTATTCTTAAACACAGCTAAAGCATTTAATCATAGTCTAGTGGTTATAAAAGACTATGAATTAAACTGGGCAGTTAAGATTTTTAAGGATGCAGTATGACAAGATGAATTACGTGCTAACAGCTAGCACATGCTCAGGGATGATGGAACATCAAAGCAAATAAGTTGAGTAACATATATTAGTACATATAATGGCAAGATGCCAAGAGAATCTATTAACAACATAAAGGTTAATGTTTCTATGCATCTGTCCATAATATTGACTTGGAACTAAACTAGGCATAACTTTTGTTCTTAGGAGTAGAACTATTAACTATAAACAGTAACAGAGATAACAATAATTAAGTCAACAAACAACCTCCAACTAAGGTGCCCCTAGAAAGAGGACAATAATAACAAATAGTAAAAGACATGAAATGTTCTTTTGCATGTCTGGGTGTGTGTGAGGTAACATTGGTGTTAAAAAGCTTGGACCTGCACACATTCCTTTCTGGAAAAGCAATAAACTATGCCAGATTCCTTATTTGGATAAGATTCCTTTATATATTCAGCTATTTCATCAATAACCACCTTTCCAACAGATGACTTTTCTTGAACCTGCAATTGAAAAAAATTCTTTTATCTAATAAGAAAGTTCAGATGAAACTCTTAACAACCAAATGGCAATTACTAATAGTTGTACCAATTACCATATAAAACAGATTTGGCCGGTTGACAGTGCTGACAAACTTTATGCATTTTGGAATATGCAACATCTCAATCAGATCATTCTGGACTTTCATTGTAGCAGTTGCCTACAAAATATATCTAAAAAGTAAGATCATACATTTAGCCCAAAAATTGCAGCTAACAACACGACAGAATACAAAAGCATGCAAATGTTAAGGGGCAGAAACCACATACTGTCAAAGCTACTACAGGTACATTTGGAAACTGAGTTTTGAGTATACCAAGATTTTTATAGTCAGGGCGAAAATCATGACCCCATTGACTACAGCAATGAGCCTCCTGTAGAATAACCCAAATAAACATACCATATGGTCATGCAAACTATTAAATGAATAACCTAAATCATCAAGACAAAATAATAATAATATTAACAATAACACACAAATATATATATATATATATTGTTAAATAAATTAACCTGAGGGCCAATAATGTTACAGTTAAGTTGTATGACACTTGCAGCTTTCTATCAAATTATGTTCACTATGCAGTACAACCATTGGTGCAACACATTTTGGAAGAAGCACATGTAGAGCTTATAAATACCAAACCTGGGGTGTCTTATACAACTTAACAATGTTCATTAGTTCGTAACCTCCAGCTAGTTCCTATCTTATAAAAGATAAAGGTTCAAATATAGAAGAAACTAGTAAACTACAAATTTCAAGGATTTTATAGCTCTCACATACCTAATTATCCAATATTTAAAACTAAATTCATAACAATATTGATAAAAGGGAATCATGCATGCTTAAAAGACATGAAATGTGTAGAACGAATAAGAAATAAAAATAAGCAAAAGAACAAAGGAACAAAGATATATGCATCAAAATGAAGAACAAAGAAGATGTGCAGAAAAGGAGGACTAACATCAATTGAAATAAGAGAAAGGCGAGCAGCATGGTTGCATTTTTCAAGCTTGGACATAAATCTCTTGCTTTTGGATATTTTCTCAGGTGTGACATACAATAATTTGACATCTTCTTCGCCTTTCTCCAAGGCCTTGTATATGAACTTCTCATCTTCCTTATTTGTTGTGGATGTGAGCATGAATGCTGGAATGCCTGAGGCGACCAAACCCATTACCTGAATTGTTATTAATACTTTAAGTCAAAAATTTGAAAAAAAAAAAACAATGCATTATCTGATAATCATACCATTTAAAAAAAAAGACCTGATCTTGAATTAAAGAAAGCAAAGGACTGACAACAAGAGCAATTCCTTGACGAAGGATGGCAGGAAGCTGGTAGCAAAGGCTCTTGCCACCACCTGCAGCCATAATCACCAGAACATCTCTTCCACTCATTACTGCATTTATGATCTACAAATCATTAATTTAATCAGTAAGTACATCACATCTTTATTTTCAGTCAAACCTTTTTTTTTTTTTTTCTGTTTAGACATAAATGAAGTCCTATCACATCCAAAAAGAGAAAAAGGTGTTCAAACATAATGGAATCAGGCAACCTACTTCTCGCTGATTTGGACGATATGAAGAGATGCCGAAAACGTTAAACCTAATATCGTCGGCTTGAGAATCCCAGTCAAATGGTCCTGACCAGTCTTCCACTTGCACAGTGGTTGAAGAGGAGACATCTTTTACAGCTACAGGACGTGTTTCCAGCAAAGCTTTCAGTTCCGATTGCCTCTCGTACAACTTCTCTTGCCTCTCAAATAAATCCCTTATCTGGTCTGGAGCATTATTACAATTACATCAATTAATCAACATGCTCATTCACAATTCCACAAACAAAGAACAAATAATTGCTCTCACAAAAAATTGATTAATGATCACCTTCAACGTCATGAATCTCAGCCTCAACTTTTTGCAGCTCCGCCGCTATCTCCTCTGCTTCCATTTTTTAGATCGAGAAAAAAAAAAAGTACTTTTGGCCAAATCTTTATTTACATTGAGAAAACTAGAAAACTCGCTTCCAAATAAAAAGCTTTTTTTTATTATTATTTATATTTACTAGAACTAGCCCCCCTTAATTGGGTAGGCTAATTATTTTAATGTAAAAATAATAAAAAAAAATACTATTATATATATTATATAAATATTAAAATAAAAAATGTAAGAGTAATATGTAAGCGTTGTTGGCGTCTAAATTTTTTATTTATAATTAATAATATTATAATAAATTTAATAAATTAACAATTATATTTTATAATTTTTAACTAAATTTTCTCCTCTATAATGCATGAAACTTTTTGTTAGTCTTATAATATTTTAATTTACTAAATTTTTTGAGTAATTTTATATTTTTATTTAAATTGATTAAATTCAGCCAAAATTTTTTTAAAAATAATATAAAATACGTACTGTGACACAAATTAATTATAACCAAATCATTGAGGAAAAATCCACTTACATATGGAACTTGGAAAAAGTTACAAAATCTTTCATTTAGTTGGTTAAGACAAATATGGTCTTCTTTTGCCCCGCAATAAGACAATTATGAATGAATAAAAGTGATTAAAATTTACTAAAAACTTATTCATGCTTTGAAAGGATGAAATGTTGATTTGCTAAAATGTAATTATGAAAAAGTTATACAGTAAAAAGAAGAAAGATAAATTCTTATATATATTTATATAAATAGATGAATTCTAAAATAACTAACAAATTTGTCTAAACCATCTTATGATATAAACAAAACAACATTATATACATTAGTTTTTTTTAAGAAAATATCTTTTTCTTCAATACCTACCACCTAATTTTGTATGAAAAATTTTGCTATGTTAAATACACATAAAATTTATTTAGTATATAAGATTATAATGTGATAAAATAAGATAATATTATAAATAAAATTAGATTAAATAATATCATCCTATCTAGTATTTAATATACATAAAAATTATAATATAATAATTTATTTATTGATCAAAATTATATATTTTTTTAAATTTATATAATTTAAATTATTAATATAATTTTTCAGAGTATAATAAGATATGAAATTTTAATTCAATATATTAAAAATAATTATCACAACTTTATAAACATTGAATAATCTATATTAAGAAGATAATTAATTCTCTTTATAATTTTATATTTTGTTAAATATAAATTAAACCTAATATAAAATAATTATCATCATATCATATCAATCACCTTATATACCAAATATAACTGTTAGCCATATTATATGAAAAATTTGAAGTGAATACTTACCTAAATTTCAAATTATGAAATCCTTTGGGCCATTAATAGTGAATTGGGAATTAGATGGTTAACTATGAATTCTTAAGGCTCAGTTGGTAATCGGAAAACAACATTTAGAAAATAAAAAATTTTCTTTGAAAATATTTTTTGGAAAAGAAATAAATTTTCAGTGGAAATGCCTCCAAGTGGGAGATCTTGAAGTGTGAAACAAAAGGGTGTAGAAAGTCTGGGTACGATAAAAATTTGAATAAAAGACTTGTCTCAGATTTTAAAAGATTGAAATTGAAAAGGGTAGTAAGGGAGATTGAGGATTGATAGGAAGTTGCCAAAAAATGAGAATTCATACTTAAATTATGGCTTTGGATTTTGAAAGATTTTAAAATTTTGTTTGTTTTTAAACTTTATTTTATTTTTTAGATTTGTAGCCAATGATACATTGCCACATTGCTCTCAGAAGGTGAGGAGTAAATAGCTGCGCAATAGATGAGCTATAAGGGTGTAAATTAAACGATTACATTTTTCTACCTTCATGATTTATTTATTTATTTAAGGAATAAAGATAAAAAAGCAATCAAATAAAAAATTAATAATTATTTAAATTTTTAATATTTTATTATAATTAATCAAACTTAAAAATTTTATTTAAAATTAATTGAATCCTTAAATATTTATTTTATCATAATTAAATCCTTATACATATATTTTCACTCAATTAAATTTTTGATTGAATAAAAACAATTATTTTTTTTCCAAATGGTTCAATTGATAAAAATATATGTTTGAGGGTTTAATTGATTGAAAAAAAATAATGGCTTGGATGATAATTGAATTTTAATTCAATGACCTTTTTTTTATCATTTTACATTTTATTAATAATTTTTAAATTATTATTTATTAAAATTAATAAAAAAATAAATGAATAGAAATCAAACATATTCATGAATTATTCATCAAATATTTTATTTGTTTACATTTTTAAAAGTGAACGAACTAAACATGAACAAATTTATTATGTTTATGATTTATTCATGTAATTAATATATTTTAAAAATTTTATTTATAATCATTTATTAAATTTAATAAATAAATATAAACCAACAAAAATTAAATATATTTATAAATTATTCATCAAACATTATATTTGTTTACATTTGTAATGGGCTACATGCAGGAAAATTTTTACCGACTCACATTCCCTTATCAATTATTTCAGTCATATTTAAAATTTAATTAAATAAAAATAAATATTTGAGTTTAATTAATTACAATAGAACATAAGAGCTTAGATAATTTAATTTTAGTTACCTAAATTTTAATATCTGTAGAATGGTACGGCATAATCCTCCACCGATATCAATTAATATCTTGTAGAAGTTGGGCCACGGCCTCATGGGCCCTCTCTCTACCCCAAACACAGGGACGGGAACGGGAAGATTCGCGATTACGTTGAAAAAAAAAAAAAGCCAAAATATTTGAAGTTCAAAATGGAAGAACTCTTGTGATTTGAAAGTTGAAGCCACTAGCACTAGAGAATTGGGAACCTGCTTTCACCAAATCTTAAGTCCCTGCCATTCCTATCATCACCGGTCTGTGTATCTGACCCAGAACCTTAATTATTTTATAGTATTATTTGTTTCGGGAATATATGGTTCGCTTTGTTTCAAATCGAAGTTTAGAGCCTGGCTCTTCTCCTGTCCGTAGTTTTCGTCTATTGAACTTCAACTTTAGCTTTTCTTTAAATAGTTACATATTTGTTGTTGTTACCTTTTTTGTGTTGCTGTTGCTCTTTAAAATCACGAGAATGTGGTAACAAAGTGAAACAATTTTGCGGGTTGTTGTTGTTGTTGTCAGGGTTTTAGCTCATTGCGTGAAATTGAATGGGCAGAGATGACCCTTCTCAGCAGATTTTTTTATAGAAGACCCCCGGATGGCTTGCTTGAATTTGTTGAAAGAGTATATGGTATTTGCTCAAATTCTGTAACCTCAACTTGTTTCATTTGTAGTTTATTTGTGTTGTTGTGTAATCTTTTTTTTCTTAATCCCTGATTGTTAAATTAATTCAGTATATATTAATGCAGTTTTCGATTCATGCTTCTCGACTGAAGTCTTGCCAGACGGTATGTACCAAGTATATCTACACGAAATTGTAACCGAGCTACATGAAGAATTTCCAGAGTCATCGTTTCTCGCTTTCAATTTTCGCGAGGGAGAAAAAACAAGTAATTTTGCGGGAATTTTATGTGAATATGATGTTACCGTCATGGATTATCCACGACAGTATGAGGGTTGTCCCCTACTCCCATTGTCTCTTATTCAGCATTTTCTACGTGTTTGTGAGAGTTGGCTTTCACTTGGGAATCATCAAAATGTTATTCTTCTACATTGTGAAAGAGGGGGCTGGCCGCTTTTGGCATTTCTGTTAGCTAGTTTCTTGATTTTTAAAAACCTGCACAGTGGAGAGCGTAAGACTCTTGAAATTGTTCACAGAGAGGCTCCTAAAGGTTTCTTGCGGCTCCTATCACCTTTAAATCCCTTCCCTTCTCAGCTTCGCTACCTTCAGTATGTAGCACGAAGGAATATAGCTCCTGAGTGGCCTCCTCCTGTGCGTGCACTTTCTTTAGATTGTCTCATTCTTCGAGCCATTCCAAGCTTTGATACCCAAAATGGATGCAGGCCAATCATTCGCATTTTTGGTAGGAATCTTCATAACGGAGATGGCCTATACACACAGATGCTCTTCTCCATGTCCAAGAAAAGCAAGATGCTTCGACATTATCGTCAGGTAAAATTTTTTTCCCATCTTTTGTATTAATTTAAGTTTGTCATGTTAGCTGGTCAAAAATGAATTGCCACTTGTTGCAGGCTGACTGTGATGTGATTAAAATTGACATCCAGTGTTCAGTGCAAGATGATGTTGTATTGGAGTGTGTCCATTTGGACTTGGATCCTGAAAGGGAAGTTATGATGTTTCGCGTAATGTTCAACACTGCTTTCATTCGATCAAACATATTAATGCTGAACTCTGAGAACTTGGACATTCTTTGGGACTCAAAGGAGCGGTATCCAAAAGGTTTCCGAGCAGAGGTAAATATCTTTTTGAGCCTCTATTAGGACTTTGGATACATCAAGAGAAAGAAGAGCAATGGGCAGCCATGTTAAACAATTGAGTTTCTGGGCCGCTAATCTCTTTCCTTATTTTTTCAAAACGTAAATGTGTCATTAATTTTAGTCATGAATGCATGAGTATATAGTTTCTTTGGCTTTTGTATCTCTAATCCAATAAACTTCTAAATTCAGGTTTTGTTTGGGGAGGTTGAAAGTTCCTCCCTGCCTAAGGCTCCTATAACAATTTTAAATGGTGAGGAGAAAGGGGGATTACCTATTGAAGCTTTTTCTCGGGTTCAAGAACTTTTTAGTGGTGTTGAGTGGGTTGATAACAGTGATGATGCTGCATTGTGGCTACTTAAACAACTTTCTGTCTTGAGTGATGTAAAAGAATTGTCCAGATTGCAGAATAAAGGAAATTTGTATGCATCTCCTGCTGACTCTGAGGAAGAAAATAATGCATCTAGCACTGCTGATAGTTCAGATGAAGCATTTGATTTAATCAATAAACCTTCGGTGGATCCAACAATATCTCTGCTGCCAGACATTGTTGATACAATTCCCTTACATTTAGAAAGTGATGGTTTACTCGATTTAGATCATGCATCAGTCGAAACTGTTCAGATAGTTTCAAGTTCAGGAATGCCATCTCATTTGTTTTCTCCACTGCCACCTTCAGCACCTCTTGTTTACACCATACCTCCAGCACCTCCAGCGCCTCCAGCGCCAACTCTAATATCTGGGAAAAGTCTTTCTTTAAGATGTGCACCTCCAGCACCTCCTCCTCCTCCTCCACTGCATCTACCTTCATCTGTCAACATCATTAGACCTTTTTCACCCCCATCCCCCACCTCCACCTCCACCTCCACCCCCACCCCCTGCTTTTCCTAGTTTTTCCAAAGGAGATTGTGCTACATCTTTGCTTGCCACTGCTAAAATAGGTCCTCCACCACCTCCACCTGCAGCTACCAAAAGGGGCTCAGCATCTCCTCCCCCACCCCCATTCAGCACTTCCAAAGAGCTACCACCAACCCCACCCCCTCTTGCACTTTCCACTCAATTGCCATCCCCACCCCACCCCCACCCCTCCCCCTCCCCCGCCCCTACCCCCACCTCTTCTTCCGCCTTCCTTGGGCAGCAAATCCAATAATCAAGAGCCACACAGACCACCACCACCACCACCACCACCACCAACGTCACCTCCAATGACAATTTCTACTACTAGTTTCTCCCATAGGGGACCTGCTCCACCTGTTCAGTGGCATAATACTAATGTCCCTCAGCCACCTCCGCCTCCACCTCCACCTCCTACAGGACCTGCACGGCCGGGTCCTATTCCTCCTCCTCCACCTCCTGCACCAAAAGCTCCTGCCGTGCCCCCTCCGCCACCAGGCTGCAGTAAAATGGTTGGTCCACGGCTGCCAGGTGCAAAGGTGTCCAACGTGCCACCACCACCACCTCCATCTATTGGTAGGGTAAAAGCTTTGGGACAGACTAGTCATGGAAGAGGTAGAATCATTGGCATGAGTAATACCCCTAAGAGAAACTCGTTGAAGCCATTACATTGGGTCAAAGTCACTCGAGCAATGCAAGGGAGTTTATGGGCTGATTCTCAAAAGCAGGATAATCGGTCAAGGTGTGTGCATATATAATTTGTATATAAGTACGTAATTATGTTGTAGTTTCTTATAATCGCCAAAAGTAGATTGCACCTTCTACATTATTTTTTATAAGGAGATGTTGAATTGCGCATTTTGGGCTGGAGCATGGATAAAACTTTTTATGAGTAGTTAGTTGCATTTTGTTTTGCATTCACTAGAATATATTTTGAAAAGCCTTTCGTCATGTTACATGTCCCTTTATTTTCTATCTTGTTATGTGATTGTGGCTTTTAAACCAAAAAAAAAAAAAAAAAGAAGCATGAATCCTTGGTCGATCTGTCCTCTTTTCTGTTTCCCCTTCTATTCTTTATCTGTAGTTTTTCTTGGATTACTTTTCCCTCTAATATGGGAAGATGATGGCCTTTTAACACTGTAGATCAATATTTTTCATAGGGCCCCTGAAATTGATATGTCCGAACTTGAAAGTTTGTTCTCAGCAGCCTCTGTTTCAGATGGGAGTGGTGCTAACAAACTTGGAGGTCGACGTGGTTCTAACATCAACAAACTCGAGAAAGTGCAATTAGTAAGATTCTTTCTTTCTTAAGAAAAGTCAGAATCTACTGTGTTCTTGCTAAAGTTCCCTATGACTTTTATATATACAATGAAGGATGCATAATCATGTTGCTGGAATTTTACTCTGGCTTAATTTTTTTTTTTACACAATATCCAGTATAGAAGGAAAAACGTGGTTATGATGATCCAAATTGGTTTGATTAAAATATCAAAGAAAACAAATAAGGAACACGATATGGGGTTTCTTTTCCTGATAACTAATTAGAGTACGAAATGGGCAGAATCAGACAACTTTGCACTTGGTCATGGAATTTATACCAAAAAGTTTAAGTTTATGTCCTTTTCAGTGATTGCCTTATCAACTGAATACAAAAATTGATTAAGCATTAAGAAAGCTTTAATGACAATCTCTTAATTTTGGTGGTTCCTCTAGTTAAATGATACCATTGTGACAAATAATCATCAATCTTTTAGTATACATATATTACAAGGGTTTGCTTAAGTTATTGCTGCTGCTCTAGTTGTTCCATCATTGTCATACTTACCTTCATCTTCAATACATTTTTGTTATTAATTTTACCTTTATCTTCAATACTTTTTTGTTATTAGTTTTTATGTCAGCATAAAGGTCATAATGGTCTAGAGATATTGAGTTCGTCAGGCGTAGGGTACCATTGTTGCATTGGTGCCATCAATTTACTGTGGCGATAAAATGCTGTACGGTTCTGACATTAGAAAGAAGGTCCTTTTGTTGCAAATTACATATTTTACAAACCTAATAAAATACTATAAGAGGTGTCTAAACGCTTGTAATTTAACTACAATACTGCTGCTCTTTTATGAATATCTAAGCTTGTAAAGCTCTTTTTCTGCTAATAATGCATCGTTAGTTCCTTTATTAACTCTGAACTTGACTATCAATTACTGATTCACCATGTGCTAAATATAGTCATCTTGTTCATGTTTTCTTTTATTTGCTATTTTAAGAACATTAGGTTTCTTTACACTTATATTGTGTACGTGCTGCTTCTATTATGTCTGTCAGGTTGACTTGCGCAGAGCATATAATTGTGAAATAATGCTCACAAAAATAAAAATCCCTCTGCCGGATATGATTGTAAGTTTACCTTTGCTTAGCCTGCTAAATGTTATAAGTGTGTTAAATTGTAATCTTTTTCTTGGATTTTATTATAGTTTTTGATTTAAAATGATGTTGGAATTTGTCCCTCCCTCTTTCATGTTATATTAGTTTCTAATATATCCCTGTCTGATTACCTCTATTTCAACATTTTTTTTCATTTAATATTCCATGTTATTATTATCTTACTTTCTGATGGTATGAGAGATTTGAAATTGTGTCTTATGTGCATAAAGGTTTTGCTGGCAACCAGATTCCTGGAAACTGGAATCTTTGTTTATGTTTCATATTGTATGATTTGATATCAATTGGGTACTCATCAGGGCCCTCAGTTTACTATTTCAATTTTCAGTTAGCAGCAATGAAGAATTTTTATATTTTATTGATCCCCAGTCATCTTATTGCCCGCCTATAGCTCATGATCTTTTGATGTGGAGTGATACTTTCGAGACACGTTTAGGGGCTATGTTATTGATGTTCAGAAATGTTGAAAGGTTAATATTTTTGCCTGGTGGGCCAAAATGTTTTTGATATAATTGGAAGTTTATTTGACAGAGTTGATGTTAATTTGTACTTTGAGATTTATACCATATGCTACTGATATTAACATCGGAAACTTCATTGCATATACTATAGCTGTTAAAGAAGATGGTATAAAGTATTATACTGAACTCACTACAACCATTGATTGGGTAACTTGGTGGGTTTGAAATATTTATTGTGGAATGCTTTGATAGTTGAGGGTAAAGTTTGTTTGTTATTGTTGGATCCTCTTGCAAGATCTCTGTGGTTGGAAAATGAGTGAGAGTTTGCTATACGGGATATGGGATAGATCATAAATAAACTACTTCTTCTTTTCACGTGGCTCAGCTTGTCTTGCTTTGTAGTTTGTCATTTCCTTTTAACTATGACTATATTTTGATACTGTAATTTCTGTTCCTTCGGATCGCTTAATTGATTTCTTCCGTTGGTTCTTTCTCTTGCCTTTCAAAGTTGTCTTGAACTTTCTGTACAGTACTCTCAATTTTCTATTTTTCTTTGACATGCAAAGTTGGTGGTTCTAAGTATAGTGCCTTCTATTTTCAGAACGCAGTTCTAGCATTGGATTCTTCAGCTCTTGATATTGATCAGGTGGAGAATCTGATTAAATTTTGTCCCACTAAGGAAGAAATGGAACTGCTAAAGGTAATTTATATATCTTTTAACATTTTGGTTGCATATGTTTTCAAATGCTACATTTTCCAGCCTGTTTACTGTTCTCTTTAAACGATACCGTTTATATTTTTTTTGTTTGGAAGGAACTCATTACATGATAACTTATCACCTAGGAAATGGTATATGGTCTTTTATTTTGTTTTTCATTAGTTTAAAAAGAATATGATGAATGTATTTCATGTGGGAAGACACATATCAGTGAGACACAGTTGTATTGTCTCCATATCTCATATGAGTTATAGGCAGTAGTCCTCTTTACAGAAGTTCATAAAACTGCCTTTTGTCATTATTTTATGTTCAAACTCCTGATTGAACCTGAAACTTTTCAGTTTTAGGGGGACCATTTAAATGGTGTGCATATTTTTCTTATTAGTTATGAGTAAGGCTACATTCTGTACTAATTTGCAAGCATTATAAGGATGGGTTTATAGTTTGATTTTAACACCATACTGGACATAAAAGAAAGATCATTACTTCATTTTGACTTATGTTCTGGTTGGACTGAGGGGAAGCCTGGGAAAGGGAAGGAAAGTGAAAGGAGAAGGGAAGGGAGGGAAGTGGTGCCTTCTCCCTAGCTTGGAAAATATTTTAACCCAAGGGAGGGATTTGTTGTGTACCCCTCCAGAGCCCTTGAAAGTTGAATCCATCCTTTTCTTTAAATTCCTCAAATTGGGAAGATTTGTGGGAAAGGATTTCTCTTTACAACTTTTTTTTAGATATCCCTCATTTGAACATTTTATTTAACTTAAAAAGGATGTAATTGTAAAAATAGAAAATAGATTATAATTTCCTTTTTCTTAACTCCTTAACAAACACATTTACTAACATATCCTTTCCTTTTCCTTTGCTCTTATTTTTTGACCAGTTTAAAGAAAAATAGAACTTTACCATCTCTTTCTTTTACCATGTAGTTTCCAAACATAAGGTTAGAGAGATGAAAGATAAGAGAGTTTCATGGAGAGATTTGAGGTGATTAAGGGGGAGAGTTGGTGTTTAAATCCATAACAGTGATGGAAAAAATGTTCACAGAGAGAGAGAGAGAGAGAGAGAGAGAGAGAGAGAGAGAGAGAGAGAGAGAGGAATAGTGACTTATTGGCTGGGTGATCCCCTAGTCCAGGTGAAAAAATAAAAAATGGAGAGAGATGTTTTTATTGTGTTTGAAGAGAGGGATGAAGACAAAGAACAAGCAAAAAAAAAAAAAAAGGAATGTCAGTGAGTAATAGATATAAAAGAAGAAATGAGCATGTGTCCACAAGGAGTTACAAATCATTGTTTTCATAATTAAAAATGTCATGTTGCCAGCCAAATCATCATTTTTATGTGCAATTGGAGTTATGGGTTTTTCTCCATTTAACAAATTTACAAATAAAGGGATTCAAATGGTATATATTTGAAGAATTGGATCTAAAGTGAACCTTTAGCCATGGTCTAGGATGAAAATTGGAGTTAAACCTAATTAATTACATACTTCCTAACTCCTAATTAATTACATACTTCCTTTTGGTTGTCGACACTGTAGATAACAGGCTTACGGTATTGACTATGATAAAATAAGCCTTTTTTCACTCAAGGTTTGATGTTTATTTGTTGCTTTTGTGTGGGAAATCCTAAGATTTTACTGTTTTTATGTTACATTCCACCATCTTGTAAGATATCTGTAGATGGATAACAAATTGTGGATATGGCTGAAAGTTGTATAATATTCAGTGCTTGCATTTTTATCTATTTCTTAAAGAAAATTCCTCCCAGTTTGAATAGAATAGGCTAATCCATCCTGCATGTGGTAGAACAGCCAAGGGAGAATAATGAGAATTCAGTTCTCATGATTTAGCTCAAATACAGGAGCTCTTCGTATGAAAATGGTGAGGCGTAACTGAAATTAACAGTTCTAGTTTTGAAATGTCCTTAGTACTTGATTTCTCCAATTGATATGCATGTTGAGGTCCGCTTTTTTCACAGTTGCAACAAAAAAGTACTGCTGGTGAGGAATATGCGGTACTTATATTTGCTATTGCTATCTGAATTTTTTCTAGAAAGATATGGAAACAAAATACACGTGCTGGCTCTATAGTTGATGCAATCATAAGCATTGAGAGGTGTCACGAACTAGTAAATAATAGATAAATTTATTTTGTCAATGGATAACAGATTGGTCTTTGATTGCTACTAAAGATCATGTGGAGTAGAGAGCATGAAATAACATCCTTCTATCTGAGATTCAGATATAAACAGTGAACAATTGACAACTTAAATTTTATAGTTAATGTGGGGTGAATGTCTTCCATTGATCCTTTCATATTGTAGAGACAATGTCTGCTATCAACTTATGTCTTTTGCTACCCTTTTTTTTTTTGGTAGAATTATACAGGCGACAAAGCAATGCTTGGGAAGTGTGAACAGGTTCGTTCCAATTTCTATCTTTAACACGCAGATCCCTTAATTTGATAAGTTATTAATATTATAATTGATAAATCTTTCAGTTTTTCCTAGAGTTGATGAAGGTTCCACGAGTAGAATCAAAATTAAGAGTATTTGCATTTAGAATCACCTTTTCCAGTCAGGTATTGTCTGGGTAATTTGTATATTCGATTTGTATGCTGAAATTTTATAGGTAATCCGTATTCACCGTCTTAATCTGTTTCAGGTGGATGACTTAAGATCTAACTTGAACACCATTAATAATGTGACTGCAGAGGTACTGCTATACGTACTGCTATTAAAAGGTTCATGTATAATTGTTCTTTTGTATGCTAAATGTCAGGCATGTGTTTTCTTCCTGCATGTAAAATGTCAAATACATGTGTTTTCAGGTAAAAGAATCTATGAAATTGCGTCAGATAATGCAGACAATTCTCACATTGGGAAATGCTTTGAATCAAGGCACTGCTCGAGGTACTAGCTAGCTGTTCGTATGCTTAGGATTCAGGCAATTATTTTTGTTTGTTCACAATACTTGTGGAAAAACTAAGAAATAAAACTGTGAAAAACTAAGAGTAAAACTGAATGTATATTGAAAAATTACTCATTAAGAATTATACAAGCACCTTAAGTTTATATACAACTAACTAGTGGGTAAACTAGGGCACTAAATCTTCCTAAAATTGATCCCATAATTAAGGGATTGTCTATCCTAATTTTCTGTTCTTAATTTTAGAGATACAAATACTTAATTTTAGGGATACAAATACTTAATTCTAGAGATACAAATATAAATATACTGATTACAAGATTAGAATTGGCTGTAAATAAGTGTTTTCCCACACTCCCCTCAAGTTGATGAATAGGTGTTTTCTATTCCCAGCTTGGAAATAATTTCTTGAAATGTTGCGTTGCTGAGACCTTTAGTCAACACATTTGCAAGTTGACCTTTGGTTGATGCATATGGTGTACAAATCAACCCATTGTCTAGTTTCTCCGTTATGAAGTGTTGGTCTACTTCAATGTGTTTTGTTCTGTCATGTTGCACAGGATTGTGTGTAATGCTTATGGCAGACTTGTTATCACAGTAAAGTCTCAGTGGTCTATAGCACTTGATCTTCAAGTCTTCTAAGATAATCTTTAACCATAGCGGTTCACAAATTCCTTGAGCCATTGCTTTGAACTCTGCTTCAGCACTTGATCTTGCCATTGCATTCTGTTTTTTACTCCTCTAAGTCACAAGATTATCACCTAGGAAAGTGCAGTAACTTGAGGTGGATCTTTTATCAGTTGCTGAACTTGCATAATTCGCACCCATATATGTCTCTAGAACCTGTCCCGAATTTGTTTTGAACAAGATACCTATCCTAGGATTGTCCATCAAATAGTGTAATACATGTAGACAGCCTGTAGGTGCACTTGTTTAGGACTATGCATAAATTGACTTATCACACTCACAACATATCTTATATCAGGTCTAGTATGTGAGAGATAAATGGGTCTTACAGATCTCTATTTACAGCAGCATTTTCATTAGCTTCTCCAAGTTTATGATTAGGATCTATAGGGGTATTTGCACGTTTACATGTGAGCTTCCCAGTTTCCTTCAAAAGATCCATCACATGTTTTTGTGGTGAGATGAAAATACCATGCCTTGAGTGAGCTACTTCAATCTCCCTAGCTCTTTTATCTCAAATTCTCTAGCCAAAAATTATTTTAGAGATTCTTTCTCTTTTTCATCATTTCCGGTTACAATTATATTATCAACATACACTAATAGAACTGTGACTCTCCCTGAATCCGAGTGCTTCATAAACAGTGTGTGATCTCCTTGACTCTGCTTATATCCCATTGCTAGCATCACTTTGGCAAATTTCCAGAACCAAGCCCTAGGAGACTGTTTAAGGCCATGTAAAGCCTTTTTCAACTTGCATACTTTCTTTGCTTTTAGATGACTTCCAATTCCCAATGGAACCTTTATATATATTTCTTCTTCCAAATCACCATGTAGAAAAACATTCTTTACATCAAATTGTTGAAGCTACCAATTTTAATTTGTAGCCAAGGATAACAAAATCCTAACTGTATTCATCTTGGCAATTGGAGCAAAAGATTCCTGATAATCCATTCCATAAGTTTGAGTAAAGCCCTTAGCCACCAACTTGGCCTTATACTTTCAACAGTACCATCCCTCTTGTATTTTACAGTGAAAACCCATTTACACCCAACTGGATTTTTTCCTTTAGGCAACTCTACCAGTTCTCATGTCTTATTTTTCTCTAAGGCCTCCGTTTCTATTTTCATGGCTTGCTTCCATTTATCATTGGTTAATGCCTCGGATAATGTTGTTAGAATAGAAATAGCATTTAGGCTCATAAGGAAATTTTTTCAGGATGGTGAGAATTTTTCAAATAACGCAAAATTAGAGATTGAGTATAATGGATGCTTAGTACAATTTCTGGTTTCTTTCCTAATGGGAATAGGCAGATCATAATCACTAGTTATAGTTTTAAGGGAGTCATGCTTATTTTGAGAAAGAGAGTTATAGACTGTAGTTACCTCATTTCTAAAGTTAGGATGAGGTTTTTGGACTTGCATCAGTTCAGGATTTAGAACTTTCCTTTTTGATTACATGTGTAATTCTTTCATAGAATCAAGAACAATATTATCCAGTTATATCTTCTGTGTTTGGAATGGTTTCAGACTCAAATTCAGTGTTTGACTTGGATTCAGGAGAAACAAGTTTAGACTCATAAGAATTAATAGGTGAAAATGTTGAAGAGGAGGAAAAGTCAAGCAAAAAGGAAGTCTTTATCCTTATCTTTCATGAATGAAGTCTCCCCTTGAAGATAAAGCTGAGTAAGAAATGGTTTACTTTCTTTAAAAGTGACATCTGCAGACACATGAAATTTTTTGGTAGGAGGATGATAACATTTGTACCCTTTCTGAGTTGATGAATACCCCATAAAAATCTACTTAACTACTCTAGGATCCAATTTTCCCGCATTATAACTGTGAACATAGATGTACAACCAAATATCCTAGGTGTGAGGTTGCTTGTGGTATTAAAGTTGGGATAGAATTGTGAGAGTAGTTCTATAGGAGTTTTAAATCCCAAAGCTCTTGAAGGCAACTTATTTATAATGTGTGTGGCAGTGAAAATAGCTTTCCCCCTGGTAGGATTTGTGTATGTTTGCTTGAAAAAGTAAAGCTCTGGTTGTCGCTAGTAAATGATTGTTTTACCTCTCTACCAATCCATTATGCTGTGGAGTATTAACATAAGATGACTCATGGATAATCCCTTTATTTTGGAACTTGGTAGATAAACTTTAGTTGAAATAGTCTTGTGCATTATCAGTCTTAATTTCTTAATTTCTTGATTTTCACTCTAAATTGATTTTGGATCATGTTTTGGAAACTTAAAAACACATTATTCACATCTTATTTGGATTTAAGTAAAAATATCCAAAAGACTCTGGTATAATCATCTATGAAAGAAACAAATAACCTTGCACCAGAAATATTAGGAATTGTAGAGGGACCCCATATGTCACTATGAATCAAGTAAAAAGGAGTAGAACTTCTTTTATTGCTAATTAGAAAAGACGTACGACTATGCTTTGCAAGTTCACAAACATCACAATGAAAATTTTCGGCATTTAATCCTTTGAACAAAAAAGGAAACATGTTTGTCAAAGTTCCAAAAGAAGGATGTCTGAGACGAAAATGATAAAGCCAGATTTTGTCTTTATTGAGAGATTTTTCAGAAAGAAATGACAAAGATAAACTATTATTGATATTACTTATGTTATTTGACGTCTCAAGATAGAATAGTCTATCATTCTTTTTAGTAATTCCAATCTTTTTCCCTAAACTTTGGTTTTGAAATTCACAATAGGAGGGATAAAAAATCACTTTACAGTTCATGTCTTTGGTAAGTTTTTATATAGATATCAGACTAGTAGACAATCCAAGAACATGAAGAACATTTTTAAGAACAAACGAGGGATTAATTTGAACATCTCCTAATCCTGCTATTGTAGTAAGTGAACCATTTGCAACAACAATTTTTTTGTTATTAAGACATGATATATGTACTAAACTTTTGTTAGGAATGTGTCATATGATTTGTAGTTCTTGAGTCAATGACCTAAAAATTCGTAATAGGCTTAACTGACACATTTAATCCAAAAGTTTTATTTGAACTAGAGACATTACTTAAAGAACATACCCCAGTAGGTTTCTTAGTGTCTCAATCTTTTCTTTGTCCAACTTTTTTTTGTTCCTGAGACTTCTGTGGTACTTCGGTGATTTTACTAATTGTCACTTCTTCAAATCGGGTAGTAATGGTAGATTCTGTTATCTCTGGCATGATTATTTTTCTCAGGATTGAAACGAGTATTGATAGTAAAGGTTAACCAAAGACGATTCTAGGCAATGAAGGCCAAATAAGGAAAAAATAAGATTGAAAGATTTAACAAGATTTGGCCATGAAGGCTGAAAAAATATCTTCCCAAGAAGAGTCCAAAGCTCTGATACCATATGAAAAAACTAAGAAATAATGTGTAACAACTAAGAAATAAAACTGTGTGAAAAACTAAGAGTAAAATTGAATGTATATTGTGAAAACTGAATGTATATTGAAAAAACTGCTTATCTTGAATTATACAAGAGTCTTAGGTTTATATACAATTAACTAGGGGTTAAACTAGGAAACTAAATCTTCCTTAATTCTAGGGATACAAATACTTAATTCTAGGGATACAAATACTTAATTCTAGAGATACAAATATAAATATACAGATTACAATATTACAACCAGCTGTAAATAAGTGTTTTCCCACACCAGCTGTAAATAAGTGTTTTCCCACACTCGCCCTCAAGTTGGTGAATAGGTGTTTTCCATTCCCAGCTTGGAAATAATTTCTTGAAATGTTGCACTGCTGAGACCTTTAGTCAACACATCTGCAAGTTGACCCTTAGTTGATACATAAGGTGTACAAATCAACCCACTGTCTAATTTCTCCTTTATGAAATGCCGGTCTACTTCAATGTGTTTTGTTCTGTCATGTTGCACAGGATTGTGTGCAATGCTTATTACAGACTTGTTATCACAGTAGAGTCTCATTGGTCCATCCCACTTGATCTTCAAGTCTTCTAGGATAATCTTTAACCATAGTAGTTCACAAATTCCTTGAGCCATTGCTCTGAACTCTGCTTCAGCACTTGATCTTGCCACCACATTCTGTTTTTTACTCCTCCAAGTCACAAGATTACCACCTAAGAAAGTGCAGTAGCCTGAGGTGGATCTTCTATCAGTTACTGAACCTGCATAATCAGAATCTGTATATGCTTCTAGAACTAACCCCGAATTTTTTTTGAATAAGATACCTCTCCCAGGATTGGCCTTCAAATAGTGCAATATACGGTAAACAGCCTGTAGGTGCACTTCTTTAGGACTATGTATAAATTGACTTACCACACTCACAGCATATGCTATATCAGGTCTAGTATGTGAGAGATAAATGAGTCTTCCAACTAATCTTTGGTACATCTCTCTATTTACAGCAACATCTTCATTAGCTTCTCCAATTTTATGATTAGGATCTATAGGAGTATTTGCAGGTTTACATGCAAGCTTCCCAGTTTCCTTCAGAAGATCCATCACATATTTCTGTTGTGAAATAAAAATACCATGCCGTGAGTGAGCTACTTCAATTCCTAGGAAGTACTTCAATCTCCCTAGCTCTTTTATCTCAAATTCTCTAGCCAAACACTGTTTTAGAGATTCTCTTTCTTTTTCATCATCTCCAGTTACAATTATATCATCAACATACACTAATAGAACTGTGATTCTCCCTGAATCAGAGTGCTTGATAAACAATGTGTGATCTCCTTGACTCTGTTTATATCCCATTGCTAGCATCACTTTGGCAAATCTCCCGAACCAAGCTCTAGGAGACTGTTTAAGGCCATATAAAGCCTTTTTTAGCCTGCATACTTTGTTTGCTTCTAGAGGACCTCCAAATCCCGGTGGAACCTTCATATATATTTCTTCTTCCAAATCACCATGTAAAAAAGCATTCTTTACATCAAATTGTTGAAGCTGCCAATTGTAATTTGCAGCCAATGATAACAAAATTCTAACTGTATTCATCTTGGCAACTGGAGCAAAGGTTTCCTGGTAATCCACTCCATAGGTTTGAGTGTAGCCCTTAGCTACTAACCTGGCTTTATACCTTTCAACAGTACCATCTGCCTTGTATTTTACAGTGAAAACCCATTTACACCCCACTGGATTTTTTCCTTTAGGCAACTCTACCAGTTCCCATGTCTGATTTTTCTCTAAGGCCTCCATTTCTATTTTCATGGCTTGCCTCCATTTCTCACTGGATAATGCCTCAGATAATGTAGTTGGAACAGAAATAGTGTTTAGGCTCACAAGAAAATTTTTGTGGGATGGTGAGAATTTTTCAAATGACACAAAATTAGATATTGGGTAAAGTGGATGCTTGGTACATTCTCTGGTTCCTTTCCTAATGGCAATAGGCAAATCATAATCACTAGTTATAGTTTTAGGAGATTCATGCTCATTTTGAGAAACAGAGTCAAAAACTGTAGTTACCTCATTTTCAGAGTTAGGATCAGGTTCTTGGATTGGCATTGGTTCAGGATCTGGAACTTTTCTTCTTGAGTACACCTGTAATTCCTTCATAGAATCAAGAACAATATTATCTTTTGTCACATCTTCCGTATTTGGAATGGGTTCAGGCTCAAATTCAGTGTTTGACTTGGGCTCAGTAGAAACAGGTTTCGACTCAGAAGAATTAATGGGGGTAAATGTTGAAGAAAGGGGCAAATCAAGCAAAAAGAAGTCTTTATCCTTATCTTCCATGAATGAAGTCTCCCCCTGAAGATAAGGTTGAGTAAAAAATGGTTTATTTTCTTCAAAAGTGACATCTGCAGACATAAAATTTTTTGGTAGGAGGATGATAGCACTTATATCCTTTATGAGTTGAAGAATACTCCATAAAAATACACTTAATCGCTCTTGGATCCAACTTTCCCCTGTTATGACTGTAAACATGAACAAATGATGTACAACCAAATATCCTAGGTGTGAGATTGTTTGTGGTATTGAGGTTGGGATAAAATTGTGAGAGTAGTTCCATAGGAGTTTTAAATCCTAAAACTCTTGAAGGTAACCTATTTATAATGTGTGTGGCAGTGAGAACAGCTTCACCCCAATAAGATTTAGGTACATTTGCTTGAAAAAGAAAGGCTCGGGTTGTGGCTAGTAAATGACTGTTTTTTCTCTCTGCCACTCCATTCTGCCGTGGAGTATTAACACAAGATGACTCATGGATAATCCCCTCTTTTTGAAAATAGGTGGATAAACTCTGATTAAAGTAGTCTCTTGCATTATCAGACCTAAATTTCTTGATTCTCACTCCAAATTGATTTTGGATCATGTTTTGGAAGCTTAAAAACATACTATTCACATCTGATTTGGATTTAAGTAAAAAAACCCAGGAGACCCTAGTACAATCATCTATGAATGAAACAAACCATCTCGCACCAGAAATATTAGAAATTGTAGAGGGACCCCAAATGTCACTATGAATCAAGTAAAAGGGAGTAGAACTTCTTTTGTTACTGATTGGAAAAGACACACGTCTATGTTTTGCAAATTCACAAATATCACAATGAAAATCTTCAACATTTAATCCTTTGAACAAAGAAGGAAACATGTTTCTCAAGGTTTCAAAAGAAGGATGTCCAAAACGAAAATGATAAAGCCAGATTTTGTCTTTATTGGAAGATTTTTCAGAAAGAAATGACAAAGGTAAACTATTTTTGATACTACTTGTGTTATTTGATGTCTCAAGATAGTATAGTCCATCCTTCTCCTTAGCAAGTCCAATCATCTTCCCCGAACTCTGGTCCTGAAATTCACAATAAGAGGGATAAAAAGTTACTTTGCAATTCATATCTCTGGTAAGTTTTTGTATGGATATCAGATTAGTAGACAATCCAGGAACATAAAGAACATTTTTGAGAACAAACGAGGGAATAACTTGAACATCTCCTAATCCTGCCACTGTGGTAAGTGAACCATCAGCAACAACAATTTTCTTATTACTAGGACACAGGTTATATGTACTAAACTTTTGTGAGGAATGTGTCATGTGGTCTGTGGCTCCTGAGTCAATGACCCAAGAACTCGTAATAGGCTTAGCCGAGACATTTAATCCATGAGAACCAGAAGCTTTACCTGAACTAGAAACTTTACCCAAAGAACATACCATAGTTTGCTTTTCAAGGATTTTCAATAAGTTTCTCAGCTTTTCAATCTCTTCCCTGTTTAACTCTCCTTGTTTCTGAGACATTTGTAGTACTCCAGTGATTTTTCCAGTTAACATTTTCTCAAATTGGGTGATAGTGATATCTTTCATTGAAAGGGTTAGGCAATAAAGGCCTAAACAAGATTCGGCAATGAAGGCCTAAAAAAGTCAGCAATGAAGGCTGAAAATTTTGCTTCCCAAGAAGAGCCTAAAGCTCTGATACCATGTGGAAACTGAATGTATATTGAAAAAACTGCTTATCTTGAATTATACAAGAGTCTTAGGTTTATATACAATTAACTAGGGGTTAAACTAAGAAACTAAATCTTCCTTAATTCTAGGGATAGACATACTTAATTCTAGAGATACAAATATAAATATACAGATTACAATATTACAACCAGCTGTAAATAAGTGTTTTCCCACATATATTATGTGCAATACTTCAATTTTAGGGATACAAATATTTAATTCTAGAGATACAAATATAAATATACAGATTATAATATTACAACCAGCTGTAAAGTGTTTTTCCGCAATACCTCATCATATCATTATTTTGCTCTTACTTTGCAGGATCGGCGGTGGGATTCAAATTGGATAGCCTCCTTAAATTATCTGATACGCGTGCTAGAAACAACAAAATGACTTTAATGCATTATCTATGCAAGGTAGAAATGCTGAAAATTAGACTTTCAGTTCTATATTTGCATTGGGAGTTGGGAATAACGTTTCTTGTCATTTCTTTGGGGGCAGGGCTAACAATGCTATAATTTTGTGCTCTTCCTGCAAATGCCTAAGTCTTTTAATGCTGTGCTACACTTAATGTAAGCTTTGATGAGAGAAATTAGATGTTCTTTATTAATTTTTTTGTGCCCGGTTTGGGATGGTAAATCATCACTAAATAAATTTTTTTAAATAAGTTTTACTCATAAAAAGAAGGAAATAGCTGTTTGCTTTAGTTTTTACTTTTTCTCTGATTCAAGTATGTTTTAACCTACTCTAACAAATTTTACCTTCTTGCTGAACATGATTGTTCCATTTTAGCCAAACAGCAATTTGCTAATACCCCTTCTGGCATTTTCCATTCAGGTTTCCTAAATTGTGCTTTTTTTTTTCTTCTTTTTCTCTTTTTTTGGATGTGTTAGCTTCTATCAGAGAAAATGCCAGAGTTGCTGGATTTTGATAAAGATCTTATTCATTTAGAAGCTGCTTCTAAGGTATGCTTTATACGGTTCTAGTTTATTGGATCCTTCTCTTCTTGAAGTTGTTAATTTTTTTCATCCACCTGACTTTCATACCTAATGGCTAGATTCAATTGAAAGCTCTTGCTGAAGAAATGCAAGCTGTGAGTAAGGGTCTTGAAAAGGTTGAGCAAGAACTCACCGCTTCTGATAATGATGGTGATATCTCTATGGGCTTTAAGAAGGTGAGGAAGAATGGGGATTCTAGCTTAAACAAAGAATCAATTCCATTTACTTTTGCTACAAATTTATCTATTTTACTTTTTCCAGTTAACTCTTGTGTGGCATCCTATTGGGAAATATTGAGTTGCCACTTACCATCGTATTTACTTGCTTACTGAGTAGCTTCCGGCTTTTCAGAATATGTTCTCTTGCAAAATTTTTTAGTTTAGATTTTCCTGTCATTACAGATATTAAGATTTGGCATGATGTTGATTTGCAAGGAAACAAACTCTTCTGCATATTCACTGACTTGAAATCTCATTTATTTAAACACTTCGTTTTTTCCTTTCATCATTTATTGAAAAAAAAAAAAATCTTTTAAGAACGATCAAAAACTTTATTTGCATATTTTGGTTTTAGGGTACGAGGACAAGCATTTTCCCTTTCAAGAATCAATTAAACACTATCTCTATTTTCTTTTTAACTAAGTGCAACTTTGAAAAAAAACTGTTTTCCGATGATTAGTCTCTTTAATAATATATAAATAAAGCACAAATATTTGTAAAACTTTTACTGACAAAAGCGGACATTTATGTTCATTATATTTTTAAATTGCTATTTTAAATATTCTTTTATTATAAATATTAGTAAGATTTATCTAATATATAAATGAGAATTCTATTTTCATTGGAAGGCTTCATTAAATGAATTTATTTGATAAATAAAAAGGGTTAAAGTTTACATTAAATTTCTTTATTTTCATAGCTCTTATTTTACATTAACATTAAAAGCAATACACTTTATGTTAATCTACTACATTATCTTAGTAGTTTTAATTTTACATTAACATTAGAAGTAATAAGCTTTATGTTAATTTACTATATTTTGCATGAGTCAAACTTTACATGTTAATATGCACTTTATTAATTTAAATTATTTTTATAATAAACAACTATATGTTGAATACATAATTATTTGTTTAAAAATAGATATTAAAAACAAGTATTTCAGGTGGGATGTGACAGCAATTACTAGTATTTGTACGGGCACATAATTCTGTATAGCTATTGAGAGATATTCGTAGCTTCCATGTTGTAGACAATTATGATTAGGGTCTCAATCTTTTTATTTTTTGGTCAATTAATAGTTGTAATATCCATTGCAAAAGTTTGCTGGCTGTTTTTTTAAAAAAAATTTGGAGCAATAAACGGTGGTCTCTTGTGTCATACAGAGAAAATATAAGTATTAGACATTGATGTGCCTGTCCTGGTTGTGTAAAAAGTGAAATCAGTTAAATCTTTAATCCCCCCAAAGGCTTCTAACACCACCATTATAGAATTCCATGTGTAATTCCTTTAATTGTGAGGCTTAAAGTTTTAATCAATGACTTCGTTTAATACTTTAAATATCTAGGCAGTTCATTCATAATACTTAAAATTTGAAACTTTTATCTTCTTTGGACATTGGCTGTATAAACTATATATTGCTTCCATTGAATTGCATTATTCATTGTGGTTAATGTGCTTCAGTTTAATTATTTGGAAGACAATCAACCATATGGTGAATATATCGAGATGCTTACAAACAAATGAGACGACTGAAACCATTGCTGTAGTGGTCTTTATTGACCTAATTGTTTTTATGAGTTTGTTGTTTCCTGTTAATTGTTTGTTGTTATTGTGGAAGGGAAATTATTGGGATTTTCTTTGAATGTGTACCCTTAGTTTTAAACAGAAGTTTCTTTGGTTCTAGGTGTCGAAGAATTTTCTTGATACTGCTGAAGCTGAAGTAAGGTCACTTATCTCCTTATATTCTGAAGTGGTAAGTACTCTCCCAAGTTTTGTAGCTGCTCATGGGATAGAGGAAACTTGCCATCTGTTGCGGGTTAGTCTAAAGTTATTGTCTTACAGGGAAGAAACGCTGATTCATTATCTCAGTACTTTGGAGAGGATCCTGCCCGATGTCCATTTGAACAAGGTTTTCCATCTTCTTTTGACATTTTTCTTCATATTGAAAACCTGTTGTGTGACTTGTCTAATCATTTCCTTTCAAATAAATGTTGACCGCTTGAGTTTATGGTTTGTTCCTGCAGCGACTCAGATATTGGTAATTTTTGTTAAGATGTTCAATAAATCACGAGAGGAGAATGAGAGGCTGGCTGATGCTGAGAAAAAGAAATTGGAGAAGGAAGCCATGAAAGAGCGGGCAGCGGGAAATTTATCTGCTAAAAAGGATGGAGCTGACATGGATGAGCCAAATCTTACATCTCAAATCCAGAAACATTCTCCAAAACCGTAAGGAAGCTTACTATCGAGCAACAATGAAAGCTGCATGTTCGGCTTGCAGGTGTCGAGGGCATAGTTGAAGACTTTGATATCCTCATTCAGTAAATAATCGCCTGGATTTTTCAGTCTTGGTGGTTGGGGGGGGGATGGTTTATCACCTTCTAAGGTTAGACCTTCAGCCGAATGCTCTATGAAGCCATATCTATCCTAAGCATGGTGTGTTAACTAGGCTTGTCCTCTGCTGGTAGAATAATTTTTTCAGCTGGACTCAATTATATGCAGCAATGGCCTGCCGAAGTATATTCAATTGTAGATGGTTCAAGCCTTAAATTCCCTCTGCCCTCCAAGTCCTATAAACTCACTTTATGTAACCCAGGGATACTTGATCTTGACAGTTCGCTGTATGGCATTTAAATTAGCGACTGTGCCATTGAAGCGCTCACTGAATTTTTTTTTTTTCTTTTAACTCAGAAATCTAAATTCAAGGGTGAGGAAGGGTGAGTTGGCATTGCATCAAAAGCTGTTTGACGAGGCAAACTCTTTTTAAGTCGTAAAAAATTATGATTTTGGTATTGGTTTTAGAGGTTGTCAAGTTAAAGATGAAAGCTACATGATAGTTGAATTTTCACATAATTTTTGTTGTTTCTATGTATTTTTAATTTTTTTGTTTATTTGCTCTCTGTGCATTTTGTTATTAGGGATTGCCATTGCAACATATTGAAATTATGTTGTGTTTGCAAGACTTTTCCAGTGTTTGGTAATGAAACA